CAGTGAGTGAAACAGTTGAAAGTCTGCAGAAAACACCTACATTGCCTGACACCATTCTTCTCTGCAAATTCAAAGCCAATCCTTCCTACACATTGTTTTGTATTCCTGATGCATTTCAGTAATATCCTCCAAAAAATATGAACCATGACCCTTGTGTTTCCTTCATTCACTTCTCCAGCTACTTATCCACAACTGGGAATGTTTACATTAATACTACTCCAGGCAGTATAGCATTAAAAAAAACATTCATCTTTAAGGTTACTCATTGTATATTTCTTAGGAAAGCCACTAGTATTTAGTGACCAAAACGCTGTGTGTTCGCTAAGCATTATTGCACAGAATACTACAACTTTCCACTTGAGGCTGCATATTATGGCAGATATACAGGCATACCCTTTATAATTTTTACAAATAACTCAAGGGGGCAAACATATCTAATTCTTTTCTGTCCTCCTATTTTCCTCACAACAACCACCATGTGAGGTGAGTTGGACTGAGAGAAAGTAACCAGCCCAAAGTCACCTGGCCGCAGCTTTCATACCTGCAGAGAGACTAGAACTCACAATCTCCTAGTTTCTAGCTTGGTGCCTTAACCAGCAACCCAAACTGGTTCTTAATTATTAAATAAAATGAAAATATTTAACCAATGTGTTACCTTATGATAACCATCAAGCAGTGTGCACATCTGCTGTGAACAAAGCAAGCAGCACCATCTGGTGTTCAGGCAAGGGGATGTTAAGAGGAAGTGAATTCCTCTTAAATTCTAGATAGTAACAAGGCAAATTCTAGATAGTAACAAGGAAAATTGGAGAAATCAGCTTTCATGGAAAGTTTAACTGGATCATCCCCAAAGCCTGAACAGGACAATATATTAAATTCTAGATCATTCTGTCATTCCATCCCAATGTACTAAAACAAGAATTATTAACCATCACCCAGTTTTGATTCAGACATTTAATGTGAGGATTGTAAGAAGCCTGATGAAGGCTACTCACACTGGTCCCCTTTACTACTTGATCCCCATATGCACCTGTCTTTCAGTACAAAATCCATGTACAAGTAGCAGGACTAGAGATGCATCGGTAGGAGTTTCAGCAGAAAGACAATTCCACAATGATTTGCTCTCAGGTGCTGTGTTCACTTTTAGGCACCATGTTTTAAACTAAGCAACTTGAAGGAAACTGGAATGTTGCTGTACAAAGGAAGGCAACAAAGATGACCAGGAGACAACAAACTAAATTTTACAATGAGAAACTAAGAAAGTTAAGTAAATTTGATACTGTTTTGTGAAGGTGCCCAGAGCTTAAAATATAATGATCTGAACTTAGAGGAAGTCAGTTTTCACTTATGTATCCGTTACATATCCAGCTATCCATCCCATCAGAGTAGATAAGATGGACATACTCTATGTTCCTTCCCTTTGACATCTTGTAGGTCCTTGGAAGTATGCCTTTTCCGTTGCAGCCCCTAAGGAACACCCTCCCTCCCGATATCTAGCAGGCTCCTGCCCATCTATACTTTGGAAGAGCACTTCAAAACTGGCTCTTTCTCCAGGAATTGGGATAGGGAGAGGCCAGGGGGAGATGAGACTGTGGAATCAGTATTAGAAAAACTGTGGGTATAGTTCCAGGTTTTTCTGATTTTAGTTTTATTGTTGCTGTTTTTATACTGTTAATAATATTGGTAGCAAGCTGCTGAGAGTTGTTGTAAAATGGGCGGTTATGTGATTTTACATATTTTTTAAAAAATAAAATAAAAAATGTAATTTCACTTTCAACACACAAGCATTGCTTATTCTACTACATCAGACTGCTTTTTTGCTTTAATCTTCTTATATCTAGCTTTATTATTTTGCTTTCTTTTAGCATGTAGACCATTTTAATTTTTTCAGATGGGAATATGTTAGATATTGCTTAGATATATCTAACATATTGCTTACATTTATCATTTGTGCTATACATGGTGTAAATGTACTGTAGATATCTATCTATATATACATATCAGAATATACCTATATTTTAGGTATATTCTGTTCATAAAAAGCAATGAGAAAATGGAGCCCATTGGGGAAAGCAGAAGGAAGTTGTCCTTTGCTGGGTGGGTATAAATAAGTATATAGCCAAGAATAACATATGCATCTTTAAAATAGTGACCAATAAAAGTTACACCAACAGTTTTACAGTATTGATTTGAGTCCAACCCCGAGTTAGTGTTCCAACTTTTGTGTTGTACTGTATCTTCAAAAGCAAGGCAAAAGTAACCAGCACTGATTAAACATTGTCTGAGGTATCCAGAATTTGTGAAACACCTTTGATTTTTATTATAGTACCTTGTTTTAAAATCATAGGACTCAAATATGTTGTTTAAACTTTAAAGCAACCAACCAGTGAGACATTAGGATTGCGACAGAATGATTTTATAGACCCTATAAATAATTAATATCAATTGAATTTGTTTCCCATAGAAATAGTTCCTAGTTTGAGAGCCACAATTCCTCTGATCCATGGGTTTACCAAGTGTTAATGAAAAAAATTGTGCTGATCAGGGTCAGATTTGCAGTTTTGAGAATTTTCAATCCTATCAGGCCATGTTCAGTAAGCTGTCTGTTCCATTCGTTAGCATATAATAATAATATATTATTATAGCAACAGCTGTTGTCTGTGGTAGGCCAAGGACTTCCACTCAAGCCCACCACAGCTCATTCTAAATTCTGTATATACTCCAATTTAGAGAAAAATGACACACAGCTATCAATTTCATGAATTAAATAACGGTGATAGAGGTTTCTGGCCTACCTAGAAAACATACACTCAGGACTGATTTTTATGCCTTTTTAGCAGTTTTCCTTTGGTTAGCTACTGTCAGCTATATGCAGCTAGCAACTGCACAAATGTATTTCACTATACACTTGTATGTACTAAACCACATTACTGAAGTAATTCTCCTCTCTGATTTGGATATGTTCTTGTGGAAATCTTTACTAAGCATTTTCTTCAATCATCTTAAGCAAGTTGACTTCATTTAGCAGATGGAGACATCCCAATGTTGAGGCCAAATATGTTATGAAGAAATTTAAAGGAACCAATCCCCACATAAATTGTTATAAATGTGCAAAGCTCACCAATCCAGAATCATTTAATTCTCCATCTGGACCATGTTATCTTCCTCCGTTGCCCAACCATCCATGCTATTCTGGGGGCAGTTGGGCAATTTCTGATAGTAAATCCTCTGAATTAGAAGTGATTTGACATTTCTGCCCAAAAACCAGGCTTATTTCATTCAGGATTCCCTGAACTGCTTTGGAGAATTTCTGGAACAGCATGATTCAATAAGGGGTGTCAAATACATCATGCCGAAATCGTGCTCACCCCATTGTTGGCAATGGAAAAAAAGTCACAATACGTTGCAACACGTCACGTGACGTTACGAGTTCGACACCCCTGCAATAAGGGAACCAAACATCTCCAGAACATTCTTTTCATGAATTAGTTTTGCATATTTGTGAAAATGGCACTGATCCACTTCAAAACCTTAACATTTATTCCTACAATTTTCTGTTAACTACTTGCCGATATTTCAGATGACTTTTGATATGACTGCTAAATTTCCAAAACATTTGAAATTGCAAGTAATTAACGTTAACTATTACCATATCATTTGGATTCTCAAAAACTTGGAAACTTAGCAAGATGTTGTAGAAAATATCTTCAATTTATATTCCTGCAAGATACTTCTCAATACCTGATCATTTAAATTGATAAAAAAAAAACCAATTAAACAAGCAGATATCCAATTAGTACAGAGAACATTAAATTGCTGTATTGTTTTCTGGATTTCCATGAATCCTTTTCTAGACATTGATATTAAATACATTTCATATAGGTTGGAAAGATCAGTTCTATTTTTATTATATGCAGCATTTTTACATTAGATATTGCAGAATGTTCAAATGAATACCATCTAGAACAGGGGTGTCAAATTGCCGGCCCGCGGGCTGGATGTGTCACATGGAAGCCATGCCCAAACCAGCTCTGATAAGTGACGAGTTTGACATCCCTGATCTAGACTGTCTGTTTTCTATATTAGGGCATAGTTTTTGGGACAAAAATCTTCTGCTTTTCCTCTAAACCATGCCAAGTTGATTATTCAAGCTCCCTTAGAAGGATTTTTTTTAGAACTGAACCCTCTGAACCAGATTACAATATTCTAAATGAAACAAGCTGCTTTAGAGTGAGCCTATGATCTGAACACTGCAAATTGCATATAGGTTATACAGTATTTATTACTTTCCAGAAAACTGCTGACAAGCTAAGTGCCAGGATTGGCTTGCTGCAGAGGAATAATTTGTACATTTGTACTTACTATGATCAGAAATTTAATCTTTTGTCGCTATTATTCGATTTACTTTTTCAAATTCCACTTCCTTGAAAACAAAATCTGTTCAAAGCATTCGTACTTTTCCTCCATTATGTACAATGAAAAAAGACACAAATGGCTCATTCATCTTTTCTACATTCTCATCTTCTTGCTTTTTTCTGAGTTTTCTGAATCACTATATGGCATTTTAGCCAATTTCATTTATGTATTTTGTATTCTTTATAGCAACATGCTCCCTATTTTTTATTTCATATTTCTTTTGTGCAATTTTAATTTTTCTTCATTTGGAGAAGACTTTCCTAATTTCAATTTTATTTTCATACTTCTTTATTAGCAATGCTACAATTTCACTAACAATACTTCTTTCCATAATTTCATTAACAAGACACAAACACATACAAATATTTCATTCATATGAATACTGAATGGGCTGGAAAACTCCTTAGTACTCTGGATAAAATGTTCCCTTTCTTAACTCAGAGTATTACCAGATTAGCCTTTTGTGGCTATCTTCCATTTAAATATAAATCAAATTTGATGACATTTATGATTTTTTCCCATTTTTTTTAATCTATGCATTTCAACTGATAGCAGAGTAGCATTTACTCAAGCAGACAAAAATATTGATGCATATGCACTATATTGAACTGTAACAAGCATGAAGACTGTTCATACACATGTACAAAATTAGTGAACTGATTTATTTAAAAATGTACATAAGGAACACAGATATTAACTAAACAAGAAAATCCACTGATTTGATGAAATCGACTTAAATGCCCCAAGAGGAAAAAAAAGGAGTCTTATTTGCCAAATAAACATAAACTTTTGTAATACATAATCAGGATTGGGAATTCTCCTGTAAAATATGGGATAGTCCTAATATTTAAACAGAGTGAGAGTTAATGTCTTGGAAGTCCAATAACCCACAGTGAAGGAGCAACCTGCAGTGTCAGCCAACCCGCAGTGGAGGAGCAACCACTACAACTCCATCTCCTCTGACAAACAGCATTGGAATATTCCTCTTGGTAGACTGTGGAAAGAAAAAGCAACAAGGCTTAGACTACATTCAAGAATATCAAACTTCTCTTCTTTTCTCAGTAGAACTAGTTCTATTTAAGGTGGTCTAACAAAATGAAATTCAATGGTGAAAAAAGTAAGGTTCTACATTTAGGCAAGAAAAACCAAATGTGTAGGTATAGTATAGGGGGTGCCTTGCTCAATAGTAGTAACTGTGAGAGGGATCTCGGAGTCCTAGTGGACAACCATTTAAATATGAGCCAGCAGTGTGCTGCAGCTGCCAAAAAAGCCAACACAGTGCTAGGCTGCATTAACAGAGGGATAGAATCAAGATCACGTGAAATGTTAATACCACTTTACAATACCACAATGTAAAAAAGATGTTGAGACTCTAGAAAGAGTACAGAGAAGAACAACAAAGATGATTAGGGGACTGGAGGCTAAAACATATAAGGAATGGTTGCTGGAATTGGGTATGTCTAGTTTAACGAAGAGAAGGACGAGGGATGACATGATAGCAGTGTTCCAATATCTCAGGGGCTGTCACAAAGAAGAGGGAGTCAAGCTATTTTCCAAAGTGCCTGAAGGCAGGACAAGGAGCAACGGGTGGAAACTAACCAAAGAGAGAAGCAACCTAGAACTAAGGAAAAACTTCCTGACAGTTAGAACAATTAACCAGTGGAACAACCTGCCTCCAGAAGCAGTGAATGCGTCAACACTGGAAGTTTTTAAGAAGAAACTGGACAGCCATTTGTCCAAAATGGTATAGGATTTCCTGCCTGAGCAGGGGGTTGGACTAGATGACCTCCAAGGTCCCTTCCAACTTTATCATTATTGTTATATTATTAATGGTTAAAATACCAAGCAAGAAGCCTCACACCAAGAGACTGAGAGTTCTAGTCCAGGCATGAAAGCTGAATGGGTCAAGTTACTATCAACCCAACTCACCTCATAGGGTTCTTGTTGTGGGGAAAATAGGAGGAAGGAATATTGTGTTTGTCATCTTATTTATTTAAAAAAAAAAATAAAGGCAGAACTAAATACAATTCATACATTTGGAAACAAGATTATTCAATTAAAATTTATTTGCACAATGAATACTAGATATATTTAATCTTTCATCCAACATTGTTCTGAACTGAATTGTATTATACAATGATCTGATTAGTAAAGTGTAACATCATAAATTTATGTACTTTGTCCTAATAGTTGAAGCATTAAACATCAATATCAGTGATATTAGAAATTTTCACCTTATAAATTTCTTCGTAAGTTTCTTCATCAATTTCTATTGTGGTCACAGTCTCTTCAACATCACCCAAAATCATATTTAAATGCTGGTCATATGCCTTTGAAAGTGAAAAAAGTTCATAAATATTGTTCTGGTGGCATCATTTATGTGGCACAAATAAAAATAAATAAAAATTCCAGCTTTAACATATAGTAATTTGTTTGAATTTTCCAGTTTGCTGAACCTAACTCTTTTATCATGCAAATTTGATTTCTACAATTACATTCCATGCATAATTGCTAGAAATGCTATAATCAGGTTGAATTATTCTTATACATTGGTGGCAATGGTGTAAAATCTGGAAAATGATTATGGAATGAAACAAATATTAAAACTTGAATTTTCTTTCCTGCCAGCTATTTTTTTGTTCAATGTATTTTATCAAACATTTGATTTTTAAATCTATTTCAAAGTAGCTCTTACAGGATAATAGCTGTCAGGACTCTTTGTGCCTTTATTGGAAATCATACATAATTCCCTTTAAAAGACGGCAAATTAAGTTATGGGAGTATGCATCCAAATCAAACTTAATTCCATATTTAAAAACAGGTTTGGCACAGAATTTCAATTTGGAAACCTTTTCTGCATTATAATTCTACATGTGGGCCACACATTGAACCTCTATTTGTTTTGCTAATTAACTGCAATTGTGGTGTAAAGCTGTGATTTTAAAAACGGAGTTTCAAGATCTGTATATGTTTTTAACTTGTTTGTGCTCATATCACAGTTCCAACCAATCCAGAGATAGAACAGAACAGAAACAAATATTTAGAAAAGAAAATAGAAATCAGGAATAGGATAAACAAGCCATCGTTATTTTGATCAACTGACTCTATTTTTGCTTGCACGACAAACTAACTTTACAGTGAGATGGGTGGCATATAAATTTGATAAACAATAAATTATAACTTAACTTTTTTTCTCCACAATTATCTATTACTAAATAAGCATCGTTCATAATTTACTTTACTTTACGAAAAAAAATACCTTTAAGCCAGAAGTATAAAACTGCAGAAAAAAGGTGACCTTTTTCACCCCTGTATAACCACTTGCAAATGGGCCCTAGTTATACCGGTATCTATGGTTGGAGTGTGGTTCTCAATAGCCTCTTGCAGTCCTCGAACTAAAAGGAATTGTACAACTCTACTTTAAAATTTCAGCCCCTCCTCCCCACTTCTATGTAATTTTACTTACATGTAACCTGCCTCGAAGTTCTCGGTCATTCCTCATTTTTACATAAATCCGTTCATCAAGACTAAGCCTGATAAGATCCAAAGGTTCTTCTACAGTGTTGGTGGTTTGTTGCTGCAAAATGTAACAATTTAGAGACATACTTTAGCAAAGAAACATGAGACAATTTAGTCTAGTAGTTAAGGCACCAGACTAAGAAGAAGGAGACCATGAGATCTACTGGTAGTTCCACCTTAGGCATCAAAGCCAGTTGCATGACTCTGGACAGGTCACTCTCTCTCAGCCCAACCCACCTCACAAGGTTGTTGTTGTGGGAAAGTAAGAGGAGGGAGTATTAGAGATGTTTGTTACCTTGAATTATTTATAAAAATAAAAGCAGGCTGTATATAGATAAATGGTAAATGTTGGCTGCTGATAATTATTCCTTTCCTCTCAAAAAATCCTAATCAGATGACAACTAATGTTTACTGAAATCAAATAATGGGAGGAAATTAAGTAATAGTTTGTAACATAATCTAATATGGTGAATTTTCATCAACTTTCAGAGGGACAAGAATTCACTTGTGCTGACTGCATCAACAGGAAAATGCAAGTAAAATTAGAGAAAATGTATACTGCTTCTCTCAACTTAGCCCCCATTAGTAATTATTTTATTTGGTATATTAATATTTGCTTTTTAAAAGTTAGAAAAAACCCCACCTCTTTATTAAACAAAAGTCTGGATGTACATATCACTAGAAAGAGCTAATCTATTTTATCAAAGGATATAATAATGTCTGTATTTTGCTGACACACTTTGAGTCAATGTTATTCAAATTACATATATTTAAATTTTTCTTTGACCATAATACTTGACAATCCCAAACAGAAAGACTATGTGGTCATATGCTATTTTCCTGTTTTATATTCCAAGTTCATGATGACTTATTTTCAAATGCAATAACTTTATAATTAAAAAGTTATATATCAAGAATGCCCAAACAATTGAGATTTTATAGATAAAATACAGCCTAAGCTTTCCTACTTATAGAGAGCATATATACCGTATAGTAACTTGCTACTCTTCAACAAGTACAATTAAATTAGAACATATTTTTACACACAAAAGGCATGCAGCAGCCACACAAATTTGTACACTCAGATCACAGCAACACACTAATGATATCCACTTTAGAAAAAGGTGCCTCTTGGGTTTAATTCAGCTGTAGCTCAAGGTTTAAGGACCAATATAGTAATGGAGAACGATTTAAGGCAGCATTTCTTAAACTTTTTCCCCTCAGGATCCCTTGCCACTTTAAAAAATTATAGTGAACCCCAAAATTGTTCGTATAGGTTATCAATATTCACATCAAAAATTAAAACGGACACTTGAATAAGCAGCAAACGCTTCAAACCAAAAAGAAAAGTAATCCAGTTACCCAGACTTAACTTCGAGACAACTCTACCTGGATGACTGTGAATCTTTATCGACTTCTCACTGTAGCCCGCTAGGATTTTAATATTGTATCATTTTTCAAGCCGACTAGCAAATTATTTCGATTCTGCGGGCATCTGGGATGCCACATTTTGAGAAACACCGATTTAAGGCAGGCGTCTTCAAACTTGGCCCTTTTATGACTTGTGGACTTCAACTCCCAGAATTTCTCAGCCAGGCACGCTGGCTGAGGAATTCTGGGAGTTGAAGTCCACAAGTCATAAAAGGGCCAAGTTTGAAGACCCCCGATTTAAGGCATTTTGATCAGAAATCATGAAATAGCATTTCACCCACTGCAAAACTTTAATATGTTTGCATCTGCTAATGCTTTGAAAAAGGAAGCCAAAAGCAGCTTTCAGTAAGAGTCGTGTACAGTATGAGAAATGAGCGACCATATAAATCGATTAAATAAACCGCAAGAGGCAGGTCGCTGAATGAAACACGGACGCCTTCCAGAAGTTGTTCCCAGGATTTTGCGAAACTCAAAACGAGAGCTAGAAACTGAAGCTCTCAGGCTTGCCACACTTTCCACCGCAACAGGGCCAAATCCCTAAAAGATTCAGCGGCCGACAAACCGCCATGCCCATCGTTTCACCCACCTGATCCACCTCGTCCGCCATTTTTTTCAAAGGCAGACTACTTACTTCTCGCGAGATTTTATATCAAGTCCGATACAGCTACCGAACGTCTAGCGGAGTACATAAAGCTGCGAATGTAGATGTTCGTGTAACGTCTAGCTTCCGGGTTAGTTCATCGAAATCGCCGATCTTTTGCCTTTATAATACTGCTTTTTTTAAAAAAAAAAAATTTGCTTGGTAGACTGGACCATTCTTTTTCAACCTGGGCAAATTTTAAGATGTGTGGACTTCAACTCCTACTCCATCTTAACATCGCCCAGATTGAGAAACATTGGGTTAGATTCATAGGCTGACTTCACACACAAACAAGCCATCTCTGTTTCCGGTTTTTCTCCTATTCTTTAATGCATCTCCCTTTGAACCGATTCAAAACCGCCCGTGTGAATGAATATTCATAGATCGGGCGTGAAGCTTGAGCGTTTTTACGCTTCCTCTTGGAAGCTTCCAGGGAGCCGAGAAATAAGTTGCGGGCGCTTCCTCCGATGCAAGGGAGAGATGCGAAGCTCAATCAGCTCGATCCGGAGTAGTCCAGTGGTTCCCAAGGGCAAGCATCCCCGCCAAAGCCCCCGGTCCGCTGCAGCGCAGGTTCTCCGGAGCCGCCGGCACGGAAGGGACGTCAGGGAGGAGGTGCCGCGGAAAGCCCGGAGCGCCCGGCGTGGCTCTGTCTGGCTTGTCTCCTGCGAGAAGCTGGAGTAACGGAGGAGGGTTATAAGGGCTGCTGCTAAGGAGCGACAGCCTGGCCACCCATCCGCCCTGCGCTAAGTCCGAAAGAGACGCCTCGCTCTTTGGCATCTTCGGGAGGCCGCCGGGCTTCTGCCTCCCTAGTCGCTGTTCTCCTTCGTGGCTCTGCAGCGCCTGGGGTTGGCGGATCGGGCTGTTTTCTTTCGCGAAATAGCGGCCGGGATGGTCGGGAAACGTAAAGGGGTCTCGAAGGTGCAGCGGTCCTGCAAGAAAGTCAAGGAAGAGGGTCCACCTGGCGGCGCCGCTTCCTCCTCTTCCCCGGGTCTGAAAACTTGTGAGCAGCGAGACGGTAAAGACAATCAGATCTCGACCAGGAGTAGGATAAGTAGCGGGGGCGGGTGGGGACTTGGGGACAGCCAGGAAAAGTTACTTCAGAGCTGTAATTAAAGCAGCTTTTTCTCAGTCCTGACAGATTTCACACGCCTTCCTTCGCCTCTTATGGAATAGTTTCATTGCCCTTCCTGGGCGACGCGAAGTTAGCAACTTTGAGCGCTTCGGGCGGTTTTCTGTTATGCAACGCTTATGTAAAAATGTTAAGAGAAAGTTCCCCAGTACCTTTGCTCGCCCATTTTAATTTTTCCTTTAAAACAAGTGTTTCTAATCTTCCATATCTAAAAAAAAACACCTTTGTGGCGTATGTGCAATACATGCCGACACTAAAGTGCAATACTGTAGTGTACAGAATGAAGTGAATGAAACTCGAGTTGTTATACCACGTGATTAAAGCACACTTTGAATGGGGCTCTCCTTGTAGAATTATTGTTGTGGTTATGTAAGTTTGCAGTTCTTTGTCGCAAATTATTAAATGTTTCATGGAAAGGACCTTACGTAATTCCTTTTTCTCTCTTTTTTTCTGAAGAATGAAAACAAGGATGACTTCAGGTCTTTATTCTATCAGAATAGGATACAGCTTTCTGCTGATTTTGTTATTGAACTATTATGCCTTTGTTTTTGTTAATATACCATGGATATTCAGTCAACTTTAAGGAGAATCAAAAAAAAGATTTTATCATTAATAGAAAGTTTTAGAGTTTTGTTGAATAGAATAAAAAATATATCTGCTTGTCTACACGCTTAAGCGGAAGCATCTTGTTAGTTTATAATCCTTGCAGCTTAATTGTTAGTTTATAATCCTTGCAGCTTAATTTTGAATAGATAATTGGAAATTAAGTGGGTTTTTGCTTAAAAAGTCCCTTTAAAAATCTGTAATCTACTTTTTCCCAGTGATTTTTGCAATTTTCATCATTTTTGATACAGATGATTTTGAAGATGAAAAACCTGAGAAGAAAACTAGGCCCAAATTGCCATCTAGAAAAACGAGAGATAAAGAACACGTCCCTCAGCCACTTCGTAAAAATTCCAATGAAAAAAGACCAAAATCCAAAGTCAAGGAGGAAATGAATAGAGGTATAGAAAGCCAAGGCTTCCTTCCAAAAGCGGGGAAATGCAGGTGAGCAACTTTAAAGTTTTTGTAGACATTTTCAAAATACAAATACAAATTGTTAGAATTGAAAGAGTCCATTAAGGCTACCTAGGGCAACCCTCTACTACTTATTGTGGGAATTCAGAATAAAACATCTTTAGAGGTGGCTGTTTAGCTTCTGCTTGAAAACAAAACAGGACCCCAGCATCTCCTATTGTTAAACTGCTCTTACTGTTGTTGTTGTTGTTGTTGTTGTTTTTTGCCTAAAAGGTAACCAGTATCTCAATTTTTTTTCTGGAATTACAGACCACTGGAAAGATAGATAATAGTACTGTACTTGATATTCTGAAGAGGTATGGCAGCTCTTCAGATACTTGGAAAGTGCCATTACATCCCCTCTCAGTTGCCATTTTTTAGGACTAACTTACCTAGTCCCTTCAATCACTCATAAGACTTAATTTCTTATCAGCTTATCTTTTCTTCTGGTCTAATTTTTGTAAAAAGTAGAATGGTCTCTTAAAATGTATCCAAAACTGAACAGAGTACTCCAAAACAGATTCTGACCAATGCAAAATATATTGGAACTTTTATTTGCCAAAGTTTAAACTGCATTGGCTTTTTCACACTTATTGTTATCACAGCAGATATCTCGTAATGTTATGCTTGGGAATTAGGTTGGTTTTTCCTAATTGTAGAATACTGCATTTGTAACTATTAAATTTCATGCAGTCTTCTTCCCACTTAACCTGTGAAGATTCTTTGGAGGCCTGTTTATGTCTCCTGAAGCATTTAGCTATCTTATTCAAGTTTCGTACCTTTTTCCACTTTGAAATAACTATAAGGAATTTAGAGGTTTTTATTTTCTGCTTTGGTTACACACTATTTTTTATGTTGCCTAAAGTAATAAACAGTGGGTTAATATTACTACCATATCAGGGAAAGAAAAACAGTAAACGAGACAAGAAAAAAATGTAGTATATTTCTTTTTGAATTCAATAGCGGTTTGCAGAGCATTCCTTTAAAGAAAAAAACAGATGCAAAAAAAGAATTAATTATTACAAAGAGAGAAGAAGATGAGGATGAGGAAAGTGAGGAAGAATGGGAAGATGTGGAAGGTAATACATTCTTCATTTTCTGCTATATAAGCCATTTGTCTCATTTATTGATGGCTATTTTGGCTTCTCGTGGTTTATGCTTATTTTCATACTGAAGTTGTCCAAAGTTTATCACAGATCTATTGAATGTTGTGTTTCTTTTATGCCTCTCTGAGCCTGATTCACTTTTTAAAAAAAGCTTTTTCCAAGGTGTTGCAGAGTAACAAATTAAATTAAATAAGTAAATTGTAGAGAATTATATTGTTTCTTCAGTTGCAAATAAGATGAAGGAACTATCTGGAAGTAGAGTTGGCTGAAACTTTCATTTAGCATGTCATCCATCTCTTTCACAAAGATCATCCTTAGATATAAGTAGTGAAAACAGCAATGTTTTAAATAATAATTTTAAATCAACTTTATTTATTTATTTATGAACACTAAGGGAGATGGGTGGTTAAAAATGTGAAAAATAAATAAAAATAATTTAGATCCAATCTTTTATTCAGGAGCTCAAGACAATCTGCATAGAGATCCTACCGCCCACTTTTTTCCTCTTACAATAACTACTTTGTGAGTCGTTCCCACTAGTTGTGGTTTATCTGACCTAAAATGGTACAATAAATTGATTAATTAAAAATGAAAAAAAGATTGTAAAAAGGGGAGGAAGAGTAGGTCAAGTAGTCCTTGACCTATGACCACAGTTGAAACCAGACTTCCTGTTGCTAGATAAGATTAAGTGAGTCATATCTGATTTTATGACCTTTTTGCCACAGTTGTTAAGTGAACCACTGCGATTATTAAGCAACTCATGTTAAGCAAATTGGGCTTCCCCCATTGACTTATCAGAAGCCAGTTGGGAAAGTTGCAAATAGTGATCACATGACCCAGGAAGAATGCAACTATTGTAAATAAATGCCAGTTGCCAAGCACCCAGATTTTGATCACATGACCAAAGGGATGTTGCAATAGTCGTACGTTACCGTAAAAACCGGTCGTAAGTCACTATTTTCATGCTGTTGTAAATTTGAATAGATGCTAAACAAATGGTTGTAAATCAAGAGCTACATGTAATAAATTCTTTCTGGATGCTGAACTATGCTTTAGCTTCCCCCCATAAAAATCCTTAGAAATCTAGAAATAAGTGAAAGCTGAACCCATATTTTATGTATAACACAGTGTTTCTCAACCTTGACAATTGCTGGCTGTGGAATTCTGGGAGTTGAAGTCCACAGGCCTTAAAATTGTCAAGGTTGAGAAACACTGGTATAACATTTCTATAATCATTATTTTCTATGCTGAAAAAGGTTGTTTAATAAAAGTATTACCTCATTTAATAATGATTCCTTATGGGCTAGATATGGCTTTTGGGTTGGTGTTAGAACAGAAGAAAATATTGCATTAAATACTAGATTTCCAATGTAACATGGGCTATGTGCCATAACAGACATTTATTGATGTCTTCTCCAATCTGATACCTTATAGGTATGTTGGAAATATAGCTCCCTAAAACCCAGTCCAGCAAAGCCAGTAATGTCTATTAGAGCAGGGGTCTGCAACCTTGACAATTTTAAGGCTTGTGGACTTCAGCTCCCAGAAGGAATTCTGGGAGCTGAAGTTATCAAGGTTGCAGACTCCTGTATTAGAGTTTCCAGTTGGGGAAGAGTGATTCATAAAAGAATGTGATATTTGCCTGATTGATAGGCAGAGTATTTGTTAGATTTATAGGCACATATTGCTTAGCCTGTTGCCAAAATATGCAAAATAATTGTTGTAATACCTTATGCCTTCATGTGTCTTCTTAATTTTCTGTCATTGAGACCAAATGGGAGGCAGCCCTGAATTGGAACTGTTCAGTTCTGTTTGAAACACCCTGGTTAGATTTAGAACTTTGTTTCCAGAACTTTGTGAACCTGAGATCGAGATGCTGAAAGAACTTAAGGCACCAAAGCTGCCCAACCCAACTGTTGAGATAGAAATTGAAACACCTGAACAAGCAAAGAAGAGAGAGAGAAGGTAGGTGGACATCCATGTAGAGTGGACGCCTAGTGGAGTTGGGTGGCCAATACATTTAAAATAATAATTAATAACCTAATAATATTTGGTGGTTTTCACAATTGATTTGACTTATAGAGGGAAAGAGTCCATATAAAAGATTTTCTGAGATTTTGCTATAGTTTCTTTTTCCAATTTGGTCCCCAAGTTTTATAAATACCGTTGCTGTTTATAATTATTAATCTTATACTTTTAAGATTAAGAAAAATCAGTTCTTGCTTAGGGTTTTGGTAACCTTCGTTGATATTTTGTTTGTGCTGTCCTTATTTTTGGCTATTACAACCATTTCTTGTTATATTTTACTTTGTATTGTTTTGACATTTGACTAGAATTGAGATCAGAATTTTGGTTGTTTAGCGATGCATTGCTTAAGCAAGTCGTCATATGGCAAGACCAAATTTTACAACCATTTTTACTGTGGTCAATTAAGCAAATCATGTGGTTGTTAAGCAAATTCGGCTTCCCCAATTAATTTTATTCGTCAGAAGCCAACTGGGAAGGTCACAAATTGTGACCATATGCCTGCAAGATGATGCAACTATTAACAAATGCGAGTCAGTTGCCAGGCGCCCAAATTGTGATCACATGATCATGAGAGTGGTGTGATTTTGAGGACAGGTCATAAGTCGATTTTTCTGAAGCTATTATAACTTCAAATACTTGTTAAACGGACAGTTGTAAGTCTAGGACTATTTGTAATGGACTCCTATGACATTAGGAAGCAAAGTACATATTGCCAAATAAAAGAAAGGAATTCACACAGCCAAGAGTCACATATAGTGTACAGCTTCTGACAATATATTAAGTTGTCCTTGCAGTTTCTTGTTTTAAATGATTGCTCAGAATCTAGATTACGGGTGGGGACTGTGCACTTTTAAGAGACTGATGGAAAATGAACAACTGCTTTATGTACTTAATCAGAGCTGCAATTTTAAAAAAAAAAATTGCTAGGGTTTTGCTTCCCTTTTCATGTATTTTTGCCTGAAATAATAAGATTCCCAGCAACCATTTTTGAAAGAGCCTTCAGGGACAACAAAATGGGACTTAATTAGAAAGAGACATCCTAAAATCATTATAACATAGAGTCAGTTTGGTCTAGTGGTTAAAGCACTAGGCTAGAAACTCACAGGGTTGTTGTTATGGGAAAAATAGGAGGAGGAAGGAGTATTAGGTATGTTTGCCATCTTGAGTTATTTCTAGAAGTAATAAAGGCAGGATATAAATAAAATAAAATAATGAAATAAAACTCATAGATTTGGTTTGCATGAAATCTTGCAGAGAGAAACGGCAAGCTGAGTTTGAGACATATCTCCGTCGAATGGTGAAACGCTTCAGCAAAGAAGTCCGCGAAAATACCCATAAGGTTGGATCTTCAGGGTTAAGTTATCAGAAAATTGGGAGACTTCTAGGGGCAAAGTTCATTATCTGAAGTATTACATTTATCAATTTATCCTGGCAATTAAACTAATTGAATTTGAAGATACTTTAGAGTTAGGGTCATCTAATCAAGCCCCTGTTCAATGCAGGACTTACAATGCAGTATGCCAGTGATGGCGAACCTTTTAGAGACCGAGTGCCCAAAAACCTCCCTGGTCTCTCCCGCCCCTGCTCCGCTCCGCCCCCCCTGCCCCCACCCACCCACCCGCAGCGCCACCCACTGCCTCCATGGCCTGCTACAGATTCCCCAGGCAGCCCAGCAGCATCATGGCGGCCACGCCCTCCGCCCGCGCCCTGCAGCATCATCTGCACACGACGGGGCGCGAGGGCGGAGTCTTATCCCTGCTGCCTGGCTGCCATGTCCTTGGCTTTGCATGGGCCACACCTGGGGGCTACTCCGGGGAGGCTGCTAGTGAGGAGGGGGCCACAGGAGGAGGCAGGGCTGTGGCGACAGCATGCGTGCCCCCAGAGAGGGCTCCGAGTGCCATCTCTGGCATGCGTGACATAGGTTCGCCACCACTGCAGTATGCTGTTAAAATATTCCTGATTGGTAATTTTCCAGGTTCGGCATAATCAATTTTCTGAAAGGTGAGCTTATTGCTGTATAAATGTTTCATAACTGTTTCACAGTTGAGCAGTTTTTACTATTGGAGGAACATTATGGAAGTACATAAGAGAGTCAGTTTGGTCTAGTGGTTAAGGCACTAGGCTAGAATGCAGAGACCATGAGATTAAGTCCCACCTTAGCCATGAAAGCCAGCTGGGTGACTTTGAGCCTGTCATTCTCTCTCAGCTCATCCCACCTCACAGGGTTGTTTTTGTAGGGAAAATAGAAGGAGGAAGGTGTATTGGATATGTTTGCTGCCTTGAGTCATTTGTAAAAAACAATAAAGAAGGGATAATAAATAAATAGTACACATCTAGATATGTTAGTGATTTTCTTTTTTTTTTTTTTTTTTTTTTTTTTTTTTATTGAGAATTTTTAACATTTTACAAAATAAATCCCCTCCCCAAACCCGCCCACCTACCCATACCCTCCCCCAACTCCCCAAACCTCCCTAACCCTCCCCTGAACCTCCCAGAGTTGATTACAGGCTTATCCAAAATGTTTCAAAAGAAAAAAAAGAAAAAGAACTTAAAACACATATAAAACTTAAGACACCTATAAATCCTAAACAATCCTAAAAACCTTAAATTAAATGAATTATTTCTAAAAAATAATAATAAACACATTATAATATACTCTAAAAATCTTCTAATCTTACTTATAATATTATCCATCCTTCTACATAAGTTTCTTCCAAGACACAATTTTAAGCACTGCTTTCTTTAAACATCTATAACTACAATATAAAGTCTAAATACATTTAGTTAAACGAGTTATAGTCCCTCCAAAACACAAATTTAAACAATCAAAACTTGAAACATTAGAACAAACAAATTATAGTCAGTCAAAAACACAAATCTAAACATTACTTAAAACTTTAAACATTAAAAATCCCGCTCAAAACACTAAACACATTGTAATATACTCCAATCCTTCTAATATCTTAAATATTATTATCATTTTCATAAACTCCCCCAAAACACAAATTTATACATTACTTAAAACTTAAAAAAGGAAAAAAAAACAAGACACCTTTATACTCATTTAAATCTTATCAGATTAACACTATAAGAAATTCCATCCACCATAAACACAATAGATATTCAAATCTTCATCAGTAACAAGTTGCAACCACAAAAACCCCAGTCCTTATCAATCTCAATTGTCCATTTTCATTCTCCATTCATTATCATACTGATATTATTATTGTCAGCCTCGATTGTCCATTTTCGTCATAAAGCTTAAAACAAATGCTTTAGGATCTGTTCTCAAAAGCTGCTCCAAATTTTCTGAGTCTCCCAACGGCTCAGAAGCCAGTACATGTGGGGATTCCTTAAGCTCCTTATTCTGTTGGTCTTTTTCTTTACAATTATACGTTGCACAGATTTTCCTCTGCCCCTTCCTCTCAACTTGTTGACGCCCCTCAGGCTGGAATTTCCCCTTTTTCATCTCAGATGACCCTTCCATCCTTGAAGATTGCTCCAAAGGATTTATGGGTCTTGCTTCTCCCACAGATTCAGCAATCACTAGGTGTGAAATTTCATTACTCTTCTTCAGTTGCTGCTTTTCTTTACAGTTTTGTGCTACACAAGTTGTCTCCTGCTCCTCAATCTGAACATGTTGAGATCTCTTAAACAGGGGTTGCCCAATTTTAGAGTCTTCAAACTGTAATTCTACATCCATTTCTTCCAAAGTCTTGAACTTAATAGATGGAGATGAACATACCCCCAATACTGAAGTATAAAAATCTTTTGCTTGAGAAACAGTATTAAGTCTGTAACATATTCCCAGGTAATTCACCACCATTCCAATCGGAACATCCCATCTAAACGAAATTCGTCTCATTTTAAGTTCATTTGCTAAAAAGGCAAACTCCTTTCTTCTTCTTAAAATTTTAGATGGGATCTCCTTTAAAATTATAACATCTTGTGAAGCAATTTGAAATCTCTTCTTATAAAAAGCTTGTATAATTTCATTGCGTAAAGATTTCTTCCCAAAGTAAATTACCACATCTCTTGGCAAATTCTTTTGTACTGCCACCGCAGAGTTAACTCTAAATAGTTTTTCAATTTCACTAAGTATTCCTTCTTTTTCTTTATTCAAAATTACAGCAAAGTCCTTTGCAACCATCTCTTTCAGATCTTCTTGCAAGGACTCTTCCAAGCCCCTAATTCTTAAGGCGTATTCCATTTGACCATATTGAAGCATAAGAATCTCGTTTTCCATTTCTTTTTCCATACTTTCAATTTTCCCCTCCATTAATTCCACTTTTTCAGCTACTTCTTCCACATGGGAATTCAACTTTTCAAGAACAGAAGCAACTCCTTTTAAAGCCAAAACTATGTCTTGCCTCAAAATCTTATTATTTTCTTCCAAAATCTTTTTCATTTCTGCCCTAATTTGAATTGTAAAATTTCCCATCATTTGTTGCATATCCTTCACAGTTGTTGGCTGGGCCACAGAAGATTTAGGAACTGTGAAATTCAGTGGACGCTTTGGAGCCATCTTAAAAAAAAAACTTTACTCCTTCTTAAAAATTACAAAAATTACTTCAAAAGAAAATCATAACTCCCTCAAAGGAAAATCTTTAAAATAATGAGAAAAATAAAAAAATAAAAAAAGGGAGTTAGAAAAGAAAAAAAAAAAAAATAAAAAAAATTAAGATATACACTCCAATCATTAAAATGAAAAAAAAGAAGGAAAAGAGGAGGGAAAAAACCAGAATGCCTGCCCTTTAAAAATACAAGAGACTAAACCACAAATCAAACCAAAACAAAAAGTTAAAATATACACTCCAATCGTTAAAGTGAGAAAAAAAGGGAAGAAAAACCAAAATGCCTGCCTTTTAAAAATACAAAAAGCAAAACAAAAAATCAGACCAAAACCAGAATGCCTGCCCTTTAAAAATACAAGAGACAAAGCAACAAATCAAACCAAAACAATAATAATACTTCTAAAATCCATCCAATTCATTAAAAAGAAAAAAAAAAGGAGAAAGTAAAAAAAGCCGATCGCCACTCTAGCTTCCCCAAAAAAAAAAAAAAAAAAAAGAGAAAAATGCTAGAAGGTCTCCCGATCGCCATTTACTTTCTCTTTCAACAAAAAAGCAAATAGTAAAAAAAAAAGACTGTAAACAAAACAATAAACCTTTGGATTTAAAATAAAATCAAAAAAGGCGAAAAATAAATCAATAAAAGAAATTAGAATATACACTCCAATCGTTAAAGTGAAAAAAAGAAGGGGGGGGGAAACAAAATGCCTGCCTTTTAAAAATACAAAAAGCAAAACAAAAAATCAAACCAAAACAATAATGTTTAGAAAATTAAACAACAAAAATTAATAATACTCTAAAATCCATCCAGTCCTTAAAAAGAAGAAAGAAAAAAAAAGAGAAGGTAAAAAAGCCAATCGCCATTCTAGCTTCCCAAAAAAAAAAACACTAGAAAGTCTGCCGATCGCCATTTTACTTTCCCTTTCAGCAAAAAGCAAAAAATAAAGAGAAAGACTATAACAAAAGAATAAACCTTTAAATTTAAAATACATGTAAAGTCAAGGAAAGCAAAAAAATAAATCCTCTAAACAACTCTGTCCGCTTCTTAAAAAAAAACTCACTAAATCACTTTAAACGCGGAGGTGGTTGCGAGGGCTTGTTTTGTCCCAAGGACAAAAGCAGCTGGGAAGCGGAGACAGTCTGAACTCCGTGGGAGCACTCTGTCACCCCCAAAAAAGAAAAATTGGGGGTACATAAGAGGCTCTACCACTATTCAGACTACCCTCTGCCCCCCCCCTTTGCCCGGGAGGGGGATTTTGAACCGCTGAACAGCTGATGTCTGCTGTTCATAGCGGTTCATTACACTTACCCAGGAGGACGGCTACAAAGTAGCCGCCATCGCCCAACGCAGATCCACCGGAAGTTGTGATTTTCAAAGAGTAATTCAATATATTCTTACTGGGAAAATAGCATCCTGAATTTTGGGAGGATTTAAAAAAATATTCCTGTGTATATAACAGTATTTTAAATTAGCACTCAATAAACATAAAGGATTAATTTCTTTTGCACATTCTGTAATAAAACTGAATTTTATTTGAAAAACCTTTTTAGTGCAGTTGCATATGATCTGTATGCAGTGGCATATGATCTGTAAATGCAAATTTAAAACCACATTTTCAAATGCAACTGCCACATGTATCTTAAAAATAAACTGAGCAGTTAAAACACTAGCAGGTGTAAATACAGCCTCAAAAAGAAACCAACTGTCAAACTGATACTCAGTTAAAATTCAACTCTGTGACAGTAGAAACATTTAAGGCTTGAGTCAGAGAATATTAACTTCCTGTAGTCTCTCACAACACATCATGATATAATTAGAATAATGCAGGAAAAGCCCTTTGGTCTCAGTGCATACTTTAACGCTGCAAACGTAACAGGTGGGCTTGGCCTGGAAAATGTATGAGCTAAGGGCTGAGGGTTATAATACCATCTACCATTCATACCAGAATTTCATGAAATTCATATAAAACATGAATTTTATATAATCCAGGGAGAGAAGAGAAATAAAGCTATTTCACCCCTTGGTTGAAGTCAGAATATTCATTCCAGTTGGTCATGAAAGAACTGTAACTCTACAAATGATTTCCAAAATATGCATTTTTCTTTCCTTTTTTTCTTCTTCCTTTTCTTCTTTCCCCCCCCCCCAGTCTTGAAAAGAAGGGGATATATGGTGTCAGACCTCGGAGCTACTACCAGCTCCCCAAAGCCTTGGCCCTGGGAGCGCCTTGAAATGCTGCCATCCAATTCTAATATTTAATATAATGGGGATGAGAAGAAATTGTTAAATGTATGAGGAATAATGACTTTATTCATTATTAATTAATTATGTATAAAATTGAGGTGCACATTTATAGTTTAACCTGCCCTTGCCTATTTTGAGGAAGTTTAGCCCTAGCATACCATTGAAAGCCCAAATTGGGTCTTCTTCCACAAAATGATGGTCTATGCCTGGGCCCTAGAGACTAAAGAATGGAATGAGATACTTTTTAATAGGAATTAACCAGTACAGTGACCTGGATGATTGGGGTGCTTAAAATTTATGTTTTTGGTGGCTTTTTTGTCTTCTGTCAACCATTAAGGTGTTGTGGGGCGAGCAGAGCTGAACCATATTGGGCCTGTCCCCTGAATTGTAAAAAACACTTCAGTATCTCTGTTGTACCCTAAGACTGCTTGCTTTCTTAGGATCCATGTCCTTTTCCCAACAGGTTCACTTACTGTGCCTGTTGGCCAACGGTTTCCACAGGAACAGGATCTGCCTTCAGCCAGATCTTCAAGCGATTGGGCTTTCTATCATTCCCATTCGCTTCACCAAAGACTCTGTAGATCGCATCAACCGTCTATTTCTGTCAAATCTGGTGAATTGGTAAGGGTTTTTTTTAAAAATTTCCATTGCTTTTTTAAATGAATTTAGGGTCCATCAGTGGAAAATCCGGCTTTCTGTGACTATGATTACTCCAAGAATAAGGAAGTAAGTGTGAGGGAGTCTTCTTTTTAGTTTAACTGTAAGACTGAGATAGCTTCCTTACCCCGCCATTCCAGCTTCCATAGGAGAGATAAATGACTGGGCAAATAAATAAATTATGGTTCTCTTGTTCTTAAAATAAAGGTTTTCTGCAACTTTTACTATTAACGATCAGCTCTCCGATAGTGAAGATTGGCGGGTTACTCTAGAGAGGCGCTTTGCTGTCTATGCTGCACGAGATGAGGCGGAACTGGTGCAGGTAAGTCATAGAAGACTTTGCAAGGCATGCTGGATCCCTGCTGTATCGTAATCGTAGTAAGGATAATGTGAGGGAGGTAGAGGCTGGAAGCTTGTATTTTTCACATATAAAAAGAAAGACAGACCTCCAGAGATTTCTGTACACATCTCTCTCCTTTAGCCATTGATGTCATTATTGGAAATTCTTTGTTTTTATGCTGAGCATAGCATAGAAGAAATTTATCGGACATTATACATGTGTGAATCTGAGTGTTTATATGTACACACACATATACACAAAGATGTGCAGCAGTGTTAGCTTTCATGGTACTAGGGAAAAAGATTAAGGCTTCAATTGTCATAATTGTAGGGAAGGGGAACCTGTTTTGCACATTATATACAAATTATATATTTGTTTGATTTCAAAACATTTGCAGCAATTATCCTGTGGGTAAATAGTGTTAACACTGAATGGAGAAAGGAGAGATACAAAAATCAGATTCCAAACTGGTTTTTTTTTCTCCTAATAGATATTTTTACTTATTCTTCGAGCACTTCATCTATTCTGCCGACTTGTATTGTCTTTACAACCCATTCCTCTGAAAGAGCCATCAGGGAAGGTAAGTATGGCAAAATGGTAGCTATCTTTGTTTTTCCTGGAGAAGATCTTCCCTGAACACTTACTTTGTAGTAATCCTGTTTGGTGTCTATTTTTAATATTTTTGCTTACGTTTCTGGATGAACTTTGATTTGTTTTCCTTAATTTCTTCAAGTCTTTATTAATTCCTTATTATTCTGGAAATAAAGAAAATTTGCCTATCCAAATATATATATTTAAGATTATTTTAAAGTGAGATAATTACAGTTCCTGGAATAGGCCAGACAACCTATGGTTTGAAAGTCGGATAAGATTGTACTTAGTCATTTCTTCAAATGGTAACTATTGTTAAACAGTACTCCTCGATTTAATGACTGTGATGTAGCGACTGCCCATCATGGTCGTAAGTTGTGATGGTCATAAAATGAGTCACTCAAGTGACCTACCGGATTTTATGATTTTTTTTAGCTGTTGTTAACCAAACACTGTGGTTACGAAAGTGTTCACCAGTGGTTCGCTATGGGCTGATTTTGCAAAAAATAAGAAGTAAATGCTTGTTTTCAGCAAGCAGCCATAAATGTGAGGCAGTTACTGAGCACCTAACGTGCAGTCATGTGACTAGAGGGGGCTATTGAAACTTTGAAACCAAGTTATAATACCCCTTGGAGGTCCGTTATAAATTTGAACAGTCACTAAGGGGATCGATTGTAAGTCAAGAATGACTGTACATAACCTCTTGGGTTGTATTTCTCCTGCTTTCTTCAGTAGGTCCTGATTCAGTATCTGCAGAATATAGAAACTGGTGCTGAGAAATGATATGGCAGTAGCCTGTGTGTAGGAAGCAGGCAGGGTAAGCCATAGACTACCCTGCCCATAGCCTGAAAAGAGATGCAACTACCCATCTTGCAGATGGGAGGTACACTCACAAAGTTGTTGTCTGAGCAATAGAACTAGTTTATATAGATAATGCATGTTTTTTTTTAAAGGGAAGAAGTCTGCTTATAAATCAATAACTGTGTTTCTAGTCTTTATGGTTAAGACAGAGAAAGAGCTGAAAGGTGTTCCAGATTTGCAGTTCTTCATCATCATAAAGGCCCCGAAAGATGAGGAATGGTAGTGGTGAAGCTCTGTTACAGAGACTTCCTGTGCCAGTGGAACAAACAGCACAATCCACAGATCCAGCATCTCCACTGATGCCCTGTAATTCATGTTGGGTTGTAAGACGTGAACAGCCAATATAATCTAAGAGCAGGTCACATTCTAAAGTCAACAACTTGAATTTTAATTCAGTGGAGCTATCCATATTTTCTTGTTCTGCTTTTTGCCTCTTAAAATCTTCAACTTTCCTACATATTTTTTCTCAGGGAAAATCCTCCAAGAAAAGCTCTGTTTTGGTAACTTCTGAGACGTTGCCCGATTCTGCCAAAAGCTCAAGAAAATGCACAAGAGTAGATACTGCTAAGAAGCCAAGCCTCTCTAGGGCCAAAAAGCTAAGAAAGAAATCTTCATCACAGGAAGATATTCAGAAAGATATAAAATCTGAGAATGATAAGAAGAGTTTGAGGGCAGAAGAAGGGCTGGGCAGGCCTAAAAATGACCGACGACGGCAAGTGGCATCAAAAGTGTCATATAAAGAAGAGAGTGGAGACAGTGAGAATAATGATTCTGAATTCTGTCCTCCTGAGGAAAATGATGATGGTAGCATATCTGATGAGGACTTTGAAATTCCCAGAAAAAAAATGAAGTCATCACTAGGAACCCCCAAAACAACGCTAAGAACCCTGAAAACAAAAGCAATTGTTAACAGGCAACGATCTGTGTCGAAACAACAGAAGGACTCAGAGATAATTGGTAATTCGGTAGACAAAACAGTCAGTCCATGTTCTTCAGTCCCACCCAAGAAGAAAAACAAAATAATTTCTAGTGATGAAGAAGAAGAGCAGAGGTCAGTTGTATTGAAAGGGACAGACCAGTGGGTAGAGGTTTTTCTTGAGCGAGAAGATCGATGGGTATGTGTGGACTGTATGCATGGCAATGTTGGACATCCTCTGGAATGTTTCAAGTATGCCTCAAAGCCAGTGTACTACATCATTGGCATTGACGATAATGGATCTGTAAAGGATATAACACAGAGATACGACCCAGCATGGATGACTGCAACAAGGAAGTGTCGTGTGGATGCCCAGTGGTGGGAAGATACCTTAGAGCCGTACAAAAGTTCTTCTGTGGAACGGGATACAAAAGAAGAAAGAGAGGTAAATAAAATGGCACTGGAGGGTATTTTTCCAGTAATCAAATTACATCCAGAAGGACTTGATTTTTTTTTCTTTATCCTTTTCTGATAGATTTAGATCTCTGGATTGCGAAAACCCAAAGCTCGCTCTTTTTACCTTGATCTGCTTTACTGCTTCTTTTATCCAAGACCTTAGCTAATCTGTTCCTCTTGGTCTACCCACTAACTCAAACGTTATCTGCTTTTATTCAGTTTCTCTTCAAGTCAGTTCTTGGCTGAATGATAGCAGAGCTTGTGAATTGTCCTCTTTAGATATCCCTCAGTAAGACTGGCTATTTAGCCCTTATAGCCATTAAGAAGAAAATACCTGCACATTCTCAAATTTAAAGGACATTTTTCCATTGATCATAACAGAATAACAAAGTAACAGAGTTGGAAGGGACCTTGGAGGTCTTCTAGTCCAACCCCCTGCTCAGGTAGGAAACCCTGTATCATTTCAGACAAATGGTTGTCCAATCTATTATGAGAAGTGTATGAAAATAAGAAGTGTTCAGACCTCAGAAATTATATGTAGCAATCAAGTGAGCCACACTCTTTAGCTTGTATTTATTTCTTTGTTTTTCAAATTGGATGTTACCCAACATATATGTTTTATCTTCAGTAAAACTCCAGTGGATTGATACTTTCATTCAACATCATACTACATTTGATTGATTAAATGTATTCCCCACCGTTCTGCTTGTATAAGCATTATGGCAGCTGAAATTAAATAGAATAAAATTACGAAGCATGTAAAAGATGATATTGACATAGGTGCAATTAAATCAATTAACAAGCTTAGGGGGAGAGATGAATGTTTACATTTTCCTAAATTCTGGAAAGGGGGGATCAAATGCATATTTTTAGGGAGACCAATTTGTAGTCTGGAACCATATAGAAGAAGGCCTCCTGGGCAAGTTCATGGTTTTAGCTGACTCGACCTCTCACGTTTCTTTGAACCAAAACTCCTTAACTGTAGCTTCCATCATTCACACAGTGAAAGCAAGAAAAATTGAGATCCCTTCCGGGAAAAGTAAGCTTGCCAATGATGCTTAGATAATGTATCTAATAGTTATTTAAATGCTAAATTTTGAACTGAGGTAGTGTTTACATACCAGGCCTCAATACTGTCTTTTATCTAGTCTTCCAAAAGCTGAAAAAATATATTTGTAATTGGTTTCCTCTATAGTCTATTGCTAATAACACGATTCTCAGTTTTTAGCTAAACTTCAAAATCAGCCTTTGCCAAAATCTGTCAGTGAATACAAGAATCACCCACTTTATGCTTTGAAGAGGCATCTTCTGAAGTATGAGGCCATATATCCCGAGACAGCTTCAATTATAGGATATTGCCGAGGGGAAGCTGTCTACTCCAGGTGAGACATTTCTCAGATGTGTATGCTGTGAAACATTGCTTCATTTGATACACAGGTTTGGGATCATCAGATTGTCCCACTGGCAATACCTTACAACTACCTGTGTTTCCCTGAAAATAAGACCGGTTCTTTTTTTTTTTTTTTTTGCCTCCAAAAGAGGCACCAGGTCTTATTTTTGGAGTAGTCCAACCCCCTGCTACTTACCTCACCTCCGGCACCGACAGCCCCACCTAGCCGGTCCAATTCTTCTGGGGCCAAAGTTCTGCAGCTGCATTCGGGCCTGCATTTTGCTGTCAGGCCTTTCTGGAAGGCCTCTGTAACCAAGTACCGAGCTATGATTCAATCCATAACTCGGTTCTCGGCTGCAGTGGCCTTTCCAGAAATGCAGGCCTGAGTAATGCAGGGCTGGCTGCAGAAGATGCCTCAGAAGAAGAAATGGGCAGGCGAGGAGGCCTGCCTGCTAGGTAAGTGAGTGCGGGGTGGGTGGGGCAGCTTAACACCCCCACCCCCACCCTAGCTTAATTTTTAGGTGTGTGCCTCGCCCCAAAACTGGGGCTTATTTTTGTGGTAGGGCTTATATTAGGCCCACTCCCAAAAATCTAGCTAGGGCTTATTTTCGGGGTAGACCTTACTTTCAGGGAAACGGTACTTACTTTGAACATTTAAACAAGGATCCATGTTCGCACTCTCCACAGTGAATGTTACTCATCAGTCAAGAGTTCCCTTATCTAACTTGGCAAAGGGATAATTATTCCCAAACTTGACTGAAATTCAAGAGTGCAGTTCAGCACAGAAGAAATTTACATCTACTCACCTTCATTGAAAAAGTGAGGCCAGAGCTGGTTGTTTGTATCACTAGAAGCCATAGCTTGTTTCTGCAAATTACATAGGAAGGACAAATCTGGTGTTTGTGGGTACGAAGCCAGTATCCCTTTCATCACTTGGCTTTTCCCTCCTAAAATGTATCTGATTTTTTTCCTCTCCCCTTCTGTAAGGAGGTTTGAGTTGGATACTAGGCATAGATGGGGCTACTCAAAGTGCATACATGAAACCTGTTTTCTGCTTGTCAGAAAAGTCTACCTATGCTTATTTTTTCCCAGTCTTTCCCATCCCTACATTAAAAAATATGGGAATTTCTTGCAAGCATTCAGAGGAAAGTGAGCCAGCCTTTGTGTGATCCTGCATTGTGTGATCCTACTTTCTTCCAACTCTTTTTCAGTTGGTATGGATTTAGAATACTAAATGTCAAAAAAGTACTTGTAAATATATTCGCTGTAAATGCAGTCCATAACCCACTTGCACTTTCATATGATGTAGTATAATATTCAGAAAGATTTTTTTAACTAAGACTACATCAGAAAGATAATGATTATTTTAAAAATTAAAATATTCAAAATATATCCACATTGTCATGGGGGGGGGGAAGGGTGTGAGTTGGTCAGAGGATAAAGAAATTCCCTCCACAGCACAAATAGCACAAAGTGTACGTATATTGAGTTTGTTCTAGTGGTGTACTTCTGTGGTATATTGTGCATGTTATCTAGTATATTATCTAATATGTAGTTTATTGTGAATGTTGTCTATGTGAAGCTATATTATTTACCAAGGATGGTATTTGGGTAATTTCAGAGACTGTATCCATACGCTGCACTCCAAGGACACTTGGTTGAAACAAGCTCGAGTGGTGAGGATTGGGGAAGTGCCTTATAAGGTAAGAGCAATATCAACAATATTTTTGGGCTAACGTTGAAATTTGTGGTAGGGAATAGGTATAAAACTTTGGAAACTGAAGAATTATTTTTTTAAAAAAAAAATGCTCTTTGAGGCCAAATTAAAGGATTCTGCTGCCTGTCTTCTGTGTTGTTGTTGTTTTTTTTTTTTTGTGGCTAACTACAATAGATGCTACACAGTTCCCACAGGTGATAGCTTTCTCCTGCTGTTGTATCCATTAGAGCAGGAGTCTTCAAACCTGGCCCTTTGATGAATTGTGGACTTCAACTCCCAGAATTCCTCAGCCAGCATGCCTGGCTGAGGAATTCTGGGAGTTGAGGTCCACAAGTCATAAAAGAGCCAAGTTTGAAGACCCCTGCATTAGAGGCATGATTGTCAAACCAAAAGGTAGACCAGAGTAAGAAGGGTTTACAGATTTACTAGTATAAACAGACTCAATGCTACTTAACCTGGTTTAATGGACTTTTATGGCCAAATATTGCAAGGGAGATGTTGGAAGATTAAGTACTTCTTACTCCTAAAGAGATGGGCCAATTCCTACATGTTTCTCCATGAGGAAGAGGCTGTGATCATTGCTTTGAGAATTATGAGCAAGAAAAAATGATGACAGCACTCTAAACTCTTTTGTGTTTGTACAGATGGTGATAGGTTATTCCAACCAAGCAAGAAAAGCACGAATGACAGAACCTGCAAATCGGGACAAAAAGGATTTGCCCTTGTTTGGTCTCTGGCAGACTGAGAAATATCAGCCACCTCTGGCTGTGGATGGAAGGGTAAGCTGGCAATTAGGTAGACTGGGTAGGTTTAAAACTCTATTCTCCCACAGAGCTTAGTTCCAATTTTTTTTTCCCATTCCACTTCTCTTTTAGGTTCCTCGGAATGAGTTTGGGAATGTCTATCTCTTCCAACCTAGCATGTTACCAATAGGCTGTGTGCTGCTAAAGCTTCCTAACCTTCATAGAGTGGCCCGTAAACTGGATATTGACTGTGTTCCAGCTGTTACAGGATTTGATTTTCATGGTGGTTACTCTCATCCCGTGTAAGTCATAAACTTATGATCTGGTTTTACTAGGATATACAATGGTCTTATATGCTACCTAGTAATGCCGTTGGATTTACTTAGCATACATGGTTAGTGATAGTATTGCAGAAATGCAGAATTGGCAGCTTAGTTGCTTAGTCCAAAATAGTAAGAGCTCAGCACTTGCTCCCCTCCTTGCTATCCACTTTCACAAAGGTGGATTAACCTGGTTCCTCTTTTATCCATGCTTATTTAATATTTTTATATCCATATCATTCAGGTGAGGATGCTACAGCAATTAACATTCTTTCCTAGCTTTGTTAGTTACTCATTTATGAATACAGTTATAGCCCTTCACGAGTTCCTGGGTACTTTCCATCTAGTTTTCCAAATGTTGTTGAACGGACTGATGTTTAATCTATTGGAGGAATGGGGAATTTGGGGCCATCCAGATGTTGAAATGTCTCAGCATCTCTCACTGTTGCCTGCCCAAGGATAATTTGGAATTCAGCAACATTTGGAAGGCCAAAAGTTGTTGCCCAGTGCTAAGCCTATTTAAACACAAGTCCCTGGATTGCATTTTGTTCCAACTCTGCATAAATGACAACCTGGATCCTTTTCACAGCACAGAAGGCTATGTAATCTGTGAAGAGTACAAAGAAGTGCTTGTTGCAGCCTGGGAGAATGAAGAGTCAGAAAGGGAGAAGAAGGAAAAAGAGGTGAGAATCACTTTGAAGTCTTTATTAGGGGGAGGGGAGAGGGGTGAACTGCTAACATTCAGCAGCATTACCAAGCTAAATGGCTGGCGAATTTAATTGCAGATCTGCAGATAGTTAATACTTTTGCAGCTTTTGACAGCATTTTCTAGCCTGGTGTCCTCCAAATTTGTAAGGGTTACAATGATTCAGAACTATCTTCAAGAAAGGAAAAAAACGGACTCAGGAAACTACAGACCAATCAGTTTAACATCAATACCTGGGAAGATCCTAGAAAAGATAATAAAAAAACCAGATCTGCGAACAACTAGAAGCAAACAAAGTCATAACTAGTAGCCAGCACGGGTTTGTTAAAAACAGATCATGCCAAACCAATCTTATTTCATTCTTTGATAAAGTGACTAAACTAGTAGACCAGCGAAATGCTGTGGATGTAGTATACTTAGATTTCAGTAAGGCATTTGACAAAGTACTAGAAAAAGGTGGAATAGACCACCAGATGGATCTGTAGCTGGCTGGCAAACCGTACTCAGCGAGTCGTCCTCAATGGCACTACATCCACAGGGAGAGAAGTAAGCAGTGGGGTACCACAGGTTTCTGTCTTAGGCCCAGTACTCTTCAATATCTTCATAAATGACTTAGATGAGGGAATTGAAGGGGAACCCATCAATTTGCAGATGACACCAAACTGACAGGAGTAGCCAACACCCCAGAAGACAAACTCAGGATTCAAAAAAGATCTTGACAAATTTGAACAGTGGGCCCTCTCCAACAAAATGAGTTGGGCAGTTTTGAGGCACTCGGTCTCTAAAAGATTCGCCATCACTGGTATAGGTTCTGCTTGAGCAGGGGGCTGGACTAGAAGACCTCCAAGGTCCCTTCCAGATTCTATTCTAATTCTATTCTATTCTATTCTATTCTATTTGTTTCAGCACAACTGGAGGGCATAATAAATTTATATAATTTACCATTTAATCTTTGAAGACTACCCACTCTTATAAGGCTGTTCTCAATGATTCAGTCCTTGCAACATTTCTCTTTTTACCACATCTTACCATGTGCATGTAGAATTCCTTCTTCCTCCCTCATTAAAGTTCAGAAGATTATTTTTTTTCAAATGTTGATCTAATTTTGGGTTCCCATTGATCAGTGATGGCGAACCTTTTAGAGACTGAGTGCCCAAACTGCAACTCAAAACCCATTTATTTATCGCCGGGTGCCAGGTGGGTGTGGCCCACTGGGTGGGTGTGGCTGTGGTGGTCATGGCAGACTGGGTGGGTATGGCCAAGGTGGGCATGGTCACCTCGATGTTGCTCGTGGGAAGGGATGCCTGTGGGGACCGGGCAGGGTTGGGGGAGATCCAGGGGGTCTCTGGCAGGTGGGGCGGTGGGCAGGAGGCTCGTCCTGCAGGGTGAGGCGAGGCAGGGCGGGGTGCCATTGTCGCAGGGCAAGCTGACACAGGGGCCGGGGCAGCTGCTGCCTGACACCATCGGCCCCCGCACACAGAGGCCAGTGAGCGCATGGGGGCCAACAATGTCCGTCAGCAGCCACAGCCTGCCGGCCCCTCGGCTGGCGCACTCTGGGGCTCCGCAGCCTGCCGCTAACAGTTCAGAGAAGCCGCCTCTGAGCTGGACGGACAGCCGACAGCTGAGGAGGTGATGCAGTGGGTCGTGCCCAGGAAAAGGAGAGCATGCGAGGCCAGGAGGGATGGGACGGGGGGGGGAGGGAAAGCAGCCATGCTGGGATGCATCCGGCCACGTGGGACCTCAGCAAGTTAGCAGGCAGCTGGTTGAAGAGGGACGGTTGCCATCTCCGAGGCATGGCACGCATGCCCACAGAGAGGGCTCTGAGTGCCGCCTCTGGCACACGTGCCAAAAGTTCGCCACCACTGCCATAGATACTATTTGAGGCTGCCACAGATACTGTAATGTGTAGAAATGCTACTTTGCCAACCACAGGGTTAATGAGTATGTGCTCTTTGTTTTTAATTCTGGGTGAACTTTAAAAACAGAAGCGGGAGAAGAGAGTGCTGGGAAATTGGAAACTGCTGGTGAAGGGACTTCTGATCAAAGAGAGATTAAAGAAGCGCTATTCTACCAAGGTAACAAAACATTGGTCTAATATAACTAACAACAACAGGTGACAAATATGAAGTTATTCAAGGCCAACTGGACATGGGGGTTCGTGCCTAGATTGGAAAAAGAACAAAATGTTAATATATATTTCTTAAAATTGAAGATATAATCTGAAGTAAAATACTTTTTAAGAAATATATGTAAATATACTTTGCATTTGAACAAGTACTTCCTACATAGAAATAATACATTTTTATTACTCTTGAAATGACAAATAATGGCATTATTTTTTGATGCATAAATATTAAATTGAATATTTTACTTGTTTATCTGAAGTTATCTGAAAGAAAGAGATAATTGAATTTATCGGGGCTTTTACAGCATACTTGAATAGGATTGCATGTATTCCTAACAGTGGGTTCAATCATAAATTTTGTCAACAATATGAATATTAATGGAACTATTTTATGATAACGTTAAGTGGCTTTTGACAGTAAAGCATATGTTATTTGTTGAAAGAAGTATGGTCATCCATTTCAGACAAATGGGGCCAAAATAATAGAAAAAAAAAGAGTTCTCTTTTCTCATAGCATTTCATGCTAAGTATTTTGATAATATTTGCATTCTGCTGGTTCTTCTTTTTTCCAGATGCAGTAGGATTGTTGAAATCTGAAAACATAAGTTCTGTATATGTGTATTTGTACAGCATTTGTAATGTCAATTACTAGTTTTGTCACTGCGCCCCCCGTTAAAGGGAAAGTTCTTCCACAGCATCAGTGAAATATTTAAACGCTTTCTCTTCCAGAATGAGACAAGAGTCATGGTGGAAGGGGAGTCTGGTTTCTCAACCGATGAGGAAGAAGGACCAAATTCAGAAACACCTGCTGAAGATATGGCTGTTTCTTGGCCCCAAAATCGGCAAGTTGAGGAACAGAGTGAGAAAGGAAAAACAACCAGAAAGAGCAAGAGAGAAAAGAAAGGAGAAGCAAAACATTTGTTCCCATTTGAGAAATTGTGACAAGGAGATTTGGGTTCTTTAGATTCCTATCTTAGCGTGAACAAGGAAGCACTTTTATGTTCCTCCAACGCACATTCATACGGAACCTTTCCTGCCAGCAGGAATAGCTAACAACACTCAGGAAACCTCCAACCAGTTTTTCTAATATTGCATTCCTAAGATATATGGAGGACTTGGATTTGAAGCAGGAAAATTGGTCTGGACCCATTGCTAGATGCCTACTATATCTTTATATTGGCTAGTGGCACCTTAAAGAATCTACTTTTCCTAAATTCTTGATAGTCATATTTTCTTTAAGGTAAGGCTGCTGATAGGTACAGCAAGAACACCAGTGTTGGAGCAAAGTACAATGTCAGATCTTAATACCTGCAAATATATTCCTTTTCTTGGAAGCTTTGCCTCATTTTGTTGCAAAGTTGTTAACAACTTTGTTTCCGGGAAGATTTATGAAAGGAACATGTATGTGTACTCATACACATATTGCAATAGTAAATCTGGGCTTAAGATGTATTCTATATGTAAAAAAAAAATTCTAGTGGGAATAAATGAGGGAATCTATAGGAAATGACTATAAGTTTAACAGCTTCTATTCAACTTTACAAAGGAAACCAGTATGAACAATAGGCTAATAAATGGGTATAGGATATTTGAGCAGAAGATACCTAGTTTTTAGTCAAGCTGGATTTATTCCTATCGCCTTTTCCTCTTTTATATCATCACCAAAAACTCTCATGAGTCTTACTTTTTTGTGTATTGATCATGCAACAAATTCCAACTTTAGATATTGCGAATGATGCATTCTGAGTGGGACTTACTACAAAAAAGGCTTGCAGTCCGCCACATGTTCAATCATAGTGCAATTACTTAATTGCTTAGTGTACTAGTTTGAATGTTTTACCAATGCACACTTCATTGTGCAAAAGAAACAAAAACTATAACAGCTTTATTACTCAAATTAATTTTAGAAGATTCTGTCATAAACTTCATCCATTTAATGTGACCAGAATTAATTTGGGCACTTTAAATTTATTCAGAGAAAAAAGATTATACTGAATCTTGAGTAAAAAAATAAAAACTTGAGTCCTGAGCACCAGTCCTTTTCCTAAGATTGTCATTTGCATATTTAGATAGTTGAACATAGTGGCGAATATCTGTAGCCGGGGTATAGGATGAGGGTGAAGGTTCATTCTCTAAGCTTGTGGGTTGGTTTCTGGACATTTTGTTACCAGGCTAGGTAACATCTTCAGCTGAGTTTAGGAGTTTTGACATCCATTCATTACCTAACCTGGTAATGAAACATTCAGAAACCAACCCACAGCCTCAGAGAATGGACCTCCACCCTCATACTTGAATATTATTAGATTCCCATCTCACATGAGCAATTTAGATCTTCTCTTGGAAAAGGAAAATACTAGCCTTCCAGTCTCCCTACTATAAGCTAAAGTCTTCCTGAAATAACATGGTTTTAAAGACCTTTCAGAATATAAGGGTGGTCAGGCCAAGGGCAGCTTTGGGGCATTTTCCAAAATGTGAAGGCCATTACTAAGCAGCCCTACCTTGGGAGCCTGTACTGCCTTTACCTTATGCAGAGGGAATCTTAACAGGCCTATTCAATATTTGAATTATGCTTGGTCAAGTTGTCTGTAATGGAGCCCAATCCACTGCTGTGGTGGATTTTTATATAATAACCAGAACTTTAAACTTGTTCTGGAAAAACAGCAGAATGCAATGGCAATATATTGAGTTTATTTCAAGCTGGGGTTTTTTTTCAGTAAATGCTAACAACTTATAGAATTATACACAAATATAAAAACAGGAACTTTTTTTAAAAAGCTTTATTTTTAATTGCTGAAGTAATGTTTTTAAAGAACTTAACGTTTTTAGTGTGTTTTCCCCCTCAGAACCTCATTTTCTCCTTAAGAAACATTTTGACAGTCCCAGTAGTTGTGAATTTTGCTCTGGAATTAACTTCAGTTATACTTTGGGTCAAGAAAGTTGAAAAGATTTCCAACTATCTCATAAGCAGCAATATTCCTGTCAGAGGTCTGCCTCCCTTGCAAGGAATGTCTTAAGTTATTAAACTAGAATGTTCTAAATCTAGAGTAGATCTTTTCTAAAAAATAATCTGAAAAATACAAGAATATTTCATTTTATCCCTCTTTAGTCAGGCCTCTGCTGCAAGTACTTTGTCCAATTCTGCCTCTGCTGCAAGTACTTTGTCCAATTCTGGGTTACCACATTTGAAGGATTCACAATGGACGAGGAACAGAGAAGACTAAAAAGATCAGAAACTAAGTCCTATGAACAGACATTGATAGAGGTCGATGTTTGTAAGATAAAAGATGATTGAAGGGAAAAATTATTGCACTCTTCAAAAACTTAAAAGGATGTCACATATAGGATGGTCTTGTTCTTGAATACAGGATACAGAATAGCTGATTTTAAATTAGGGGAAAACTGATTTCAACGGAATGCTAGAAAATAGCTTCCTCGCAGTAAGAACATTTTATGGAGAAAGCTAACACAGATGGCAGATGTTCCTTTGCCAGATGTGTTGAAACAGAGGCTAGACAGGATACTTTATTCTGGATTCCTAAACATGAGCTTGTATTTGATGATCTAAATCAGCAGTCCCCAACCTTTCCGGTTTGGCGGGCCGGGGGGAGAGGGGATGGATCTGTGCAAGTGGCAGGCTCCTGCACATGCACAGCTCCATTTGTGCAAGCACCAGGCACTAATAGAGCTTCATGCGGAAGTACAAGGACCCGCCACTCATGCGAATGGAGCTTCGCACACTAGCTCAAATGCCTGCTGCTCACACAAATGAAGCTACATGTGCCAGTGCAAGCACCCATTACTTGAGCGAGTGGAGCTACGCACTCCAGCACAAGCGTCTGTTGCTTGCACGGCCCAATTCCAAACCTGACATGGCCCAGTAGTGGGCTGTGGCCTAGGGACCCCTGATCTAAATGGTACCTTCCAATTTTTAATTCTCTTACCTTCAATAATGAACTGTGATTTCAAAACATATGCAAACCATATATTTTTCTTGAATTTTATTCATAAAATAGAAAATAGGCATTTGCATCCATAGAAACTTTTAAAAATGATATTGTAAAAATAGAGAATATAAACTTAAGATTTTAGTTGGAAGCAGCCACCATGCTTCATTCTGCCCCAGTGATACAATTGACATCTTAACAAAATGATGAACAACTCCATGGCAATGGCAAATTATAGCTAGACTTTAGTGAAATGACATTAGATAGCACCAAACCAATGAATCCAAATTTAAGTTTGGAATCCTAAATTCAAGGAAACGGTAGATCCAGATGATGCTAATAAACTTATTTACTTCTAGAGCTTTGGTGTAGTTGTTGCTCTCAGATTAATTCGATGTACCTGTAATAATGAATTGAGAATAATACTGACAATTATTTTAAATAAAAAGTATCAGAGCCTATCTATCTAGGTAGATTGCATCCATATAAAAGGTTTCTACCTAATCCATGTTTTTGGATGGATCTTGTTTCAGAGTCTCTATAAAATAGTCCCAATTGAATTGAAGATTGCACAATCTACAGTTCTGAACCAAGAAAAAGCAGCGATTGAAGCTATAGGAAAAAAAACTATTCTAGGCTATGGGTAGTTGTTAACATATTCTTTCAGTCCTAGTTTTAAAGAAATCCATTTGCTTTCATAACATGTAAGTTAACCATTTTAGCTTAGCATTATATACAAAGCAGGTAATGTTCTTTGTCTGGACAAAATCAACAAATTTACAAACTTGTACAGATTTAAATAACCCAATTCTAAAGTGTTGCACTCTTTTTTTTTTCTGAAATTGGGCAGGCTTCAAATAATTTTTTTGCCAGAGTACCATCAGTACATTGAGAACCCAACCCTATTCTACATAATTTTTCAGTAAAAAACAAATATATTAATTTGCCCATGGAGCAAGTTATGTGAACAGCAGAAAGTCTCTTCTCCCTCTGGATATATCTTTGGTTTTGTCTTTTAAAAAAGTCATAATTCTTCATGAAACCATCAGTAAATTACTGAGTTGGTTCAGGAAACAATTCTTAAGTCACAGGTTAAAAAAAATCCACCTGAGATCATAAATTATTTAACTTAGTGGGATAAGCATGAGATAAGAATAAATCATAAGACTGAGATACAATAATGCTAAATATAGTAATAGGAAAATAAACAGCATCATAGCAATACCAGAGCAGTGTAAGTTACTTTGATCCACATATAATTCAAGGTGTTACATTTGAGAATTCAGACAGGATAGTGAGAACAAAAATGAAGATAAGTGAAATATCACAAAAACTTCAAAACATTGCATGCAGTGAAACTATAATATATGAAGTTATAGATAAGGATAGGAGATTAATACTACAATGATTTATTCAAAGTCTCATATGATCCCCATTGAATCTATACATCTATTCTCCATGAAGACTGGAAGACATTTTAAATAAGTTGCTTAGAAATCCTAATCTGCTTGGCTTTGTTACGTTTCGTTCAACTTTCTATTTCCCAAAATTGAGGAAGATGCTCATTTTTATTTGTTTCCATTGGGTATGAAACCTGTCAATGTTTAGATCAGGCCTGCATAGCATCTGACCAGCCAAGCAACCTCATGCCGCAATCCAGAGATGCAATAAAGCACTATGGAGCGGTATATAAGTCTAAGGCAGTGGTTCTCAACCTGTGGGTCGGGACCCCATTTGGGGTCGAATGACCATTTCACGGGGGTTGCCAAACCATGCTGTCCGCCATTTTTTTCCCTTTTATTAGCTGTCCTACTCCCTCTTATTGGTGGCCACACCCACTTGGGGGTCACCACAACATGGGGAACTGTATTATGGGGTCACAGCATTAGAAAGGTTGAGAATCACTGGTCTAAGGGCTGTTACTATTACTACTGCTATTTGTGGCCTGTACTTATTTTAAATTTATCAATGTGGTCTTTTCTACCGGCTGTGCAGGCCTGGTCTAAATATATATGGATCTTAGGACCCCGACCATGCTATTGAGCTCCTGGGAGCTGTAATTCAGAAACGCTTAATTCCTTACCCCTGGATTGCGAAAGTGGCACATCTAGAACCATTATAGAACACACTGATGTTGCATTTTCTGTACTGCAATATGAAGAAGTGTTTTGTTTTGATCAAAAATAGCCATGATGGCACTTTCTTCAAATCTGATGAAAGCATTGAATGTATGACGTTTCCAAAGACATGTGGTTACAAAGAAGGCGCTTCCTCCATGATGTCACTGCTGTTTCTTTGATGGAACCTGAGATCTTGCAATCAGAATGGGAATTACAGCCAACAAACCAATCGATATTGCCCAGAAGGGCCGATAGAAGAACCAGCCAACCGAAATGGTCAGCAATGAGAGACAAGTGGCTAAACAAAAGGCAAATCCTTTCAAACCAATGTCAACCAGATCCCGGACAACTGGAAACCAATCCACTGTAATGAGGAAAAATGAAAAGCAAACAACTCATTGGCAAGCTTATAAAATATTTCCAAACCAAATCTAATTTAAATCCAATCCAATGCCTACTGATTTCACTGAAATTTTCGTCTCTACAGACTACAGACCGTTAAAGTACAAAAAAAAAAAATAAAAAAAAAATTCCTAGACTTTTACCTAAATACATTTTCAACACTTGAACAATAAAGAATAGTAATAGTATTCAATTCCCATCTTAACTACAGGCTTTAATTAGCTTTGATGAGTTTTCTATTTTCATAGTTTATAGAAACACATCTTTACTGTAACGCAGTGCTTAAATAACTAATTGCCTTCCCTCCCATAGACTATTGAAATACCTTCTATCTCTTGGAGCATTCATTTAATACAAGCACAAGAAAGGAAAATTTTTATGATTATGTTTCTTAGACCCAAAGGTACTTCAGTACAACTTTTTATTAGTCCTTTATTTATAAATCAGACTAGGAGAGAGTAGCAACACTTACCCAGGGTATAAATAATTCTGGTCATAAGGCTGATGCCTAAAAACATAGACAGCCATCCAGCTGCACGGAGGCCCCAGGTCTTCATGCTGTTACTCTCATGTTCTTTTTGAAATACTTCCTAAAATATATTTGATATTTAGTTAGCACTTCCAGTCATATACTTGGTATCTTATCAACATCTAGTTATGATCATAACACTTGATCAGCAGGATACACAGTGTAACTGGACGCAGTGCCAAGGCTTAATCTAACATTACTGGCCTGAGCCTATTCCCCTCCCCTCCATAATCTGCCATCATATCCTAAGAGGAATGTTACTTGAGCAACCCTAGGCTATAACTATAATTTGAAAATGTTTTGACAAACCATATTTAAAACCAACTAATTTGATTAGTTGAAAACAGAAGCAAATATTGTCAATTTTGTTCTTGTGGCTTTATCAGAGCATTTATGATGATTTTTCAACTGCAACTGAACTTCAGATCAATATTTTAAGACAGGATAAGATGGATGGAACAATGAGATACAGGCAAAATCAGTTTATGAGTCGTGTAGGTAGAATTTTAAGAAAAATAGTTTTTACTTAGAACATACTAATTTTCCTCTTGTTCCACCATGCAAACAATCCCTGAGACGCTCTGCAAGGCCCATGTGCCATTCTTGACATGCAAAACATTACACACTCATCCCTTTTCGTTGTCCATAAGTGTTACTTTTTTTTTTTACAGAGACTTAAAAGACTTTTTAATCCATTAAAACGATATCTCTACAAACTGATCTACACTGCTAATTTACAGCATTTTGGGGAGAAAAATGTGAGAGAGCAAGGCTATGGATTCATTTTTTGAACTGGAAAAATGTCTACAAATGAAACATCTACACTGACCAGGACCAAATTCCAACAGTAGAACTGGAGGAAAGCTTTATAGGAAGCTCATTCACACTGCTCCACTTTACTTAAGCTCCATTCTGCCTACTAGGATTGCCAATTTAGGTTAGCCATTTAGATTTTCAGAGAAGAATCTCACCACCTGGAGTTAGATCTGCCAGAAACTGAATCAGAGTTGTTTTATTTGCAACGATGAACTTTACCTGAGCTACGACCTTTCCATAAAGCAATAATTCAAGAGGATGTGTGTGTGTCCTTTATTTAAGCAAACAATGTATAATTCTTCTCTACTACTCTCCCTCTATTGATCTGTAACCCTTACCTCAGCTGTGAGCTCTCCGGGATAGAGAATATTTAAGACATCCCCAGATTTAGTTTGATATGGAACTAAGTGATCCTCTTGCTGGCGAGCAACTATGGTCACCTGAAAAGAGGCAGAGGTGAGAAATTAAAGAAATTTGCACATTAACATTGGAGAGCTTTATCTAATGACATGAGAAAGCCTTGAAGAGATATGGAACATTTACCATATCTGGTGGACCCGTGCGTGATAAGTCTTCACTCAAACCTGCATAGGAGAATGAAACACGAAGATCCCCAACCTGAAAAGAGGAAAAACAAAAAAACTGTTGGGCAACTAAAGATTCCCAATGGAGATTCCCAATGCGATTCTCATATTCTCTGAGCTCAGATTTGTCATATCCTCAAAGCTAAAAGTGCAATGCAGAGGGATTGAGGGAAGGGGGGGGACAATTATTTACTGTTTATTTTCCTCTTCCATTTCTTACTTCTGGACGTCGTGGATTCTCACTATGAAAGAAGTAATCGCCTGAGCGGATCACATCTGCGTGAGGGTCTTCCAATTTTGATAGGCTCATCTGCTTGAAATTATTAATCTTCTCAATGAGGCCTAAAAGTAGAAGTAGGAATAAGAAATCATTTTTGCTTATGGCATCATTGGGAAACTTCAGTGAAGCCATGTTCTTTCAGGAGGTAGGGCCACAGCATAAAATGGGCATGGCCATAGCTTGGACCAAATGGGGCCATCCTTCATGCTCTCATACAAGAAATCTCCTCATTCTACTCCATCTAACAAACTTTCCAAGTTCTTCCAATGAAGGAAAATAGAAGAACATGGACACCAAGGAGGAATATGATAGCACTCCAAGTACCCAAATGAATGCCATACAGAAGAAGGCTAAGAACTATTTTCTATGGAATAACTGTCTTAAATTACTCAATGACAGATTCTCAGTTAATGTTAGAAAAATGTTCCTGATGGTAAATATAGCTCAACTGCAGAAACAGCCACCCAGAAATATAGTGGATTTCCCTTCACTGAATGTGTTCTTGCACAGCTTAAAAGTCCATATGTCAAAGATGCTTGATTCCTGTCCAGAGCAGGAGTTCAACTCAACAGCTTAAAAATAGCTTTTATTTCTATGATTCCTTAACTCTCCTGCCTCATCATGCAAAACTAAAAGAGAAAAAGCAGGCATGGTGGTGAGGAGCAGCATGCCAGACCATAAGAACTTACAGGCAGATTTAGCTAACATCCAGATAAGAATGCAAAATATCCCATGGTATTTATTCCAAAAGCCCATGAGATATTTTGATACTTGTGATCTGCTCCATAAAATTTAAACCATGGGAATTGGAAAACTGTGATTTAAATTAAAATTTATTTAACTACTCTTCCAAATGTTACAAAGTTAGGATTTCCCCCTTATCTGCCTTGTTAAGTATAACTTAGTATGTATGCCGTATATTTAGACATATCTTGAATCCAAACTTCATACCTCTGGAAAGGAAGAACTTGCCAACTTGAACATCAGAAGCAACTGCAGTGAAAGATTCAACAGCCATGGCACTGCATAGACAAAAAGAATTATCAGATGAATTTTAGCATGGTAGACACAAAATCACAAAAGAATTAGCAAATCTTCTAGCTATTAACCACCACAAAAATGTACTCCAGGATTTCCAAACAAAACAAGTGTGAATGTATACCCACCCAGAAAACCATATGTATAACATTTGTTATTCTGCCACTTTGTTTAACTTAAAGAATACAATCTTGTGAATCAGTTAGAAATCTTACTGACATTAATCAATCAATCAGAATAGAGCTGGAAGGGACCTTGGAGGTCTTCTAGTCCAACCCCCTGCTCAAGCAGGAGACGCTATACCATTTCAGATAGGTGTCTGTCCAGTCTTTTCTTAAAAACCTCTAATGATGAAGCACCTACAACTTCTGAAGACAAGCTTAATTTATTTATTAATTCTTAGTTTAAAATTCAAAGGACAGTATTAAAAGAGCCACAGTATAGAATACTATCAAGTTTACCTAGGGTTTTTATGTCCAATTTCTCGATCAAAATTTCTGCTGTTCACAACTTCTGATTTCCATTCTGTATCTAAAAGGGGAGTACAGAAATAAAAACATGAAGAATACTATCCTGATTGCTGGAAAACATCCCAGGTATCACAAATCATGAATATTTCCCATTATCCATATAATTCTTTATGCTCTTATATGGGAATGGTTCTTGCTGAACATAGCAGGCAGAATTCTTCTCTAAGCACCTGCTAATTACATTTTTTCCCCTCAGATTCTGCTGTTCATGAAATACAAATACAGGACAAAGGCTATTTTGAGATTTATTAACAGAAGCACAGAATCCAGATCATGAAAAATAATTTTCCCACACTAAATTTCCCAATATTGACTCTGATTCTGGACACCACAGTTTAAAATGAACAATAACAAAGTAGAATGAAGATGGTGAAAGGATTGGGAACTGAGTCTAGTTAGGAACAGTTAAAGGGACTAAGTAAACGTAGCCTGCAGAAGAGCATTGAGAAAAAGTAAAATAACATATATCTTCTACAGGAAGGCAACATCTCTTCCCCATACCATCATCCTCCAAGGTTATTCTCACATTCCTTTACACTTGGAGATTTTTAAATAGAGATAACCACTGTTTGAAGCAGATCCTTTCCAAAGGAGAGGCTTGGACTGGATGACGGTCAAGCCACCTTTCAATTCTATGATCTTGCAATAGCAACAGCAATAACATGTAGACTTATATACTGCTTCACAGTGTTTTACAACCCTCTCTAAGCGATTTACAGAGTCATCATGTTGCCCCCAACAATCTGGGTCCTCATTTTGCCGACCTCAGAAGGATGGAAGGCTGAGTCAACCTTGAGCTGATGAGAATCGAACTGCTGGCAGTAGTAGAATTAGTTTGCAGTATTGCATTCTAACCACTGCACCACCACGGCTCTTATGAATAAAATCCAATGAAAACTTGCTTTCTGTGGGCTACAAGTGCTGAAATTCAGCTAATCTTGGCATAAGATAAACACCAGTAATGGCTAAAAAGGAAAATATATTTTTGTTTCCTTTAGCATTTTATAATCACCTGAAAAGATTAACTGCTTATTTCATTTTGAATTTCATAAAGATCATAGAGAATGCAAATACAATAAAAAATAATAGTGTTTCCCATTCACAGTGACAAAGATAAAAATGATAACTTTTTCAGTGGTTCTCCCTTATAACAGCTACATAACAGTAGAAATTCAACAGACAACTCTCACCATCCTTTTTTGTAGCAGCAAAGACAGCTCTTTCCTAGCTGGAGAACAGCTGCCTAATATTAAAGCCATACACAGTGACTGTTTTATGAGACAAATTTTTTTATTAGCAAACTTACTGTAAGAATATTTTGTTTCTTTGTTCACTTTACCATTTTCTTCGTATTCTCTACAACAAGGAGATAAAAACATCATCATAAAATGCTAAAATATTTTATACAGTATTTTATTATAAATAATAACTTTAGCAAAAAATTATCCAAACTTTTAACTAGTTCATGTGAATGTGAATGCCCTCATATAGTGGGCCCCCAACTGCTATCAATTTAAAAGATTTGGTAGACCTTTGGTAAAACATTTCTGAGGCATAAATGTATCAACTTTTTAAACTTTATCTATATCTCACAATTCACTAAAAAACACAGGCCTTTCCAGAGAAGGAACTTTATAATTAATTCACTGTTTGATGGTTTTTGCTTGCCTATGTTCTTGCTTCCATGAAGCTTGAACCTAATTGTCTTGAGTAGGAAACTTCTAGTACATGCACACATCTCTACCAGCTATAATTCCATCAAATTTCCTTTGAGATGTTAAGGAAAAGCCACACTTTGAAAGAGGACATAAACTCTGAAGCAGGAAACTGAATTTTCAGATGAATAGATGAATTCCTTCCTCCAATATCCAAAACAGAGATAAACTAATGTAGAAGCTTTATTGATTTGCAAAAGAGAAAATATTTTTAGTTGCCCTATAAGCCCAACTTGAAATGAGAAGAGCTTATTCTTTTGCTCTGCAGCAGGGGTGTCAAACTGCCGGCCCGTGGGCCAGATGTGTCACACGGAAGCCAGACCCACCCCTTTTCCCCAAGGGGAAAAGTCACGATATGTCGTGACATGTCACGGGTCATGGTGAGTTTGACACCCCTGCTCTACAGTAATAATGTGTGCTAAATTAGAAAGATCAAACAGATCTGATTGTATTCTCCTTATGCTAGTACTGGATTGGCACTCATTTACCCATCATTCAATCAATCATTCATTGGATGCCATAAAAATGGTTAGTACAGAGTTATCAGTTCATATTCTATTGTGATACAGATTTTTAATGCTGAGTTGAGATTGAAAAAACAGTACATTTCAGGAAGAAGTCCTGAGGTAAAGAATTTTAAATAACACTATTTCAAACCATACACATTTTATGAAACTTATTTAAATACTTTAAATGTTCTTTTATTTCAATCGTAAATAATACCCCAAAGTGAAAAGAAGTCTAAAGGGGTACCAATGGATTTGTTCCTAGATAAGTCAGTGCAGCTTTAGATCAATATAGAACAGCCTAAGCCTCCTCACCACAACACCAGTAATGAATACCCAGCACTCCCGAAATTGCCTCCTTTTAAGAGAGACCCTTAATTTCAATGAAAACATGTCAGTTTCAAGATCTGAGACAAACTCTCTGTGATCTAAAGCTTAGAGAATAACACTTTCCAAATAAGAGAACTGATCTGAATGCATGGGGAAATACTGAGATTTGAGATTAATAAAACTAGACAAAGAAAATGCATTTCTATAAAAGACAAGTTAAATTTCATCTGCCCCTTTTCCTTCTGAATACTGGGACTCGCTGCTTCAAACCAGAACTGAAAATTTTCTTCATCTAAGTAGGATATCAGCTAAATAGATCTATCCTAGCTATGACTGAGAAACCTGAAGGAGTGCCAAAATTCCAACTCTGTTACATGCTGCTTCACTGTAGCTCAGTTTGGTATTATACACCCGAGATGAGATGTGAAGGCTGCTGTAGGCATGACAACTGCTGGTTATTTTCCTATCACCTCTTAGCTGCTCATATTTTCCAGCCCAGAAGCCAGCTATAAACAAATGACTCATATTTCTGTATTCATTCACTCATTATAGCTTTGAATCACTACAGTAATTGTTATAAGATGGGAAAAAATAGATACCAGGAGGCTAGATCAAACCATTATTATATTTCCCTTGGATAGAAAGGAAAAAATAAGAATAAATATGCCAATGTTTCTTTTAATCCTAAACTGGATTATTTAAATTTCAAAAATTCACACAAGCATGTTCCACTATCACCACTACTAGAAACATGCACACAGTTTATGTAGAGCAAGCATGAATATGGAAAGCATCTTACTTGGACTCTTCATACTCAACCCACTGATACATCTCCACCTGACGTTTGAGCTTGACTGCCCGGATAGAAAGCCCATAGCTGGGATCATACAGAGGCTAGCAAATGCAAATAAACATCAGTTGATACAAGAACTATTATCTACAAGGACTTCCTAAGATGTTCAGCAGGCACAGTAGGAAAAAAAAAGGATAGCATTTAATTTTTTTTCCACAAGTCATTTAATCTAGCAGAACAAAGGATTGCTTGATTATGTATCAAGTTGTTTTCAATTCCTAGCAACCATACAAATAGATTTTCTCCATGAAAATTTATTCCTAACTTTCACATATCCCAATGTAACATCGCTATGGTAACTGAATCCAGCCATCTTTTTCTCGGTTTATCATTGCCTTTTCCAGCATAACTGATGCCTCATCTATTTCTGCCATCTTTTTATATTGCTATCCATTATAGGCACCATTTTGCTTTAGCTCAGCACCTGGGATGACCTTCATGGCTTGGGTAGTCTTACTGGGAAAATATATATATATATATATTCTTGATGTACACTCCCAACATTCTTTGTTCATCCTTCCCAAGAACAACACACATCCCCACCAACACAATGAGGCAGCACAGCAAGATTTGCTGTGGAAGAGGAGGAGAAAGAGAGAGACAGAAGAAGCAATACATTTTTTTAAAAAAACTTGACTGTGAAAAGGTGAAGAAAATTTTGAACTAAGGAAATTTACCTTTGATGTTCTAAGGATACCAGATAAGTGCACAAGTTTCTTGTCATTCTCATGGGATATAATCTGGATGTTGTCAAGTGAGACGACTAGAGAAAGCCCCTCAGCTAAAGAGGAGGCTGTTTTCAAAGTTCGTCCCTAGGAATGATGAAATGAGTAATAAAGAGGTTTAAGTAGACCCCTGAAGCAAAAGCTCGTCCATGCAGCATCATGCTGAAATCACCACACAGAACAGATTTTCTTTTAATGAAAGTTCAATTATGCAAGAAAAAAATAAAGTACTTGGATTGAAGGAACTCACCTTCAGAGGTTCCTAACCTTTTGGGTACTAGGGACCAGTTCCATGGAGAAAGTTTTTTTCCACAGACCAGAGGGTACATGGTTTTGTGTGCTGCCTGCATCTCATGGTTGGAGCTTGGCTTGTTTGTGCGGACCGGTTGCTGGCATGCCGCAGCCCACTACTGGTCCATGGACCGGAGGTTGGGGACCCCTGATCTAATCCACTAATAATATTTAGGAAAGCAGGAAGGTAGGCAGGCAGGCTTTATGCATCATTTGTGTAAAACAACTTACAAAACCCATGGAACTATTTAGCAGAATCATTGAATTAAAATTCTAAGTTTGATGGCAAATATAAAAACGCAAAGCATCCTGACACAGTTTTCTTGAAACTGCATTAAAAAAGGCTAAAAATATTTGTCTCAAAAGTTCTTTTTCAAAAGGCAACTGGACTTTTTTTTTGTTTTTCCTTGAAGATGTTTCGCTTCTCATTCAAGAAGTTTCTTCAATTCTCAGAATTGTTGAGAACTGAAGAAGCTTCTTGGATGAGAAGTGAAACGTCTTCAAGGAAAAACAAAGAAAGTCCAGTTGTCTTTTGGAAAAAGAACCTTTGGGATAACCATGACCTTGATGACTGAGAATCTCCATAGACCAACGCGTCACGTCACATGATGCGTCGCAACATATTGTGGCTTTTTTCACATTGCCGGAGCTGGGGTGGGCCCGGCCTCCGCATGATGCAACCGGCCCGGGCTGGCAGTTTGACACCCCTGCCATAGACAGTTAGAACCATTCATTTGTTCAGTCATAAAACAGCATGCCATAAGCATTTTGAAGCTGAAATCTGACACTTTGATTCATTCTCTCTCACCTCATTGGTAAAAAGAATGTAGAAAGACAGGGCAAAGGTGGCAAGGCCAACAAGCATCCCTCCAGAAGTCTCGCTGAGGCGCTCCAGAAACCCAGGCTTGTGCTCAGTTGTGATCCTCACGTGCTCATTCTTTCCACCCATTTCAGAGAACTACTGAAAAGAACAAAAAGGGAAAAGAGTTATTGAACAGCACATCTGCTACTACCTACTTTTATAACTCAAGTACTCGACTTACAACCATTGGTTTAGTAACTATTCTAAAGGCGTTTAAAAAAGTGACTTCCAGCATCCTCACAACCTTATGATCAAAATTTGGGCACTTGGCAACTGGCATGTATTTGTGACAGTTGCACTGGCCTGGGGTCTTGTGATCACCATTTGTAACCTTCCCAGCCAACTTCTGACAAGCTGTTGGGGAAGCCAGATTCACCTAGTGACCACATTCCTCACTTAACAACTGCAGTGTTTCTCTTAACAACTATGGCAAAAAAAAGTAGCAACATGGTGCAAAACTTACTTAACAACTGCCTTGCTTAGCAATAGAAATTTTGGGCTCAACTGTGGTCGTAAGTCAAAGAAATTGGCAAGGTAGCAACAGCTACAGCAAATTCTCTAACTAGGAAATCTGCTAAAAATGAAAAGCATATCTTCACTTATTGGGCTTATTATTGGTGGCACTAATGGTGATTTCTCAAGGAAAAGAATTGGGGACAGAACATACGGTATACATTCAGACTTTACTTGTTGAGCAAAAATATGACAGCATCAACTGGGACCCATCTTGGAAGGCAGAAACTCAGCTACAGTACTAAGTTTTGATTTGATGGATTACCCATCTATGCATAGATGGGGGGAAAAAACTAACTTCTCTAACTCCTTTAGTCCAATCTTTGAGCTAGTTCATCTTTCTACAGCATCATAATTCTATACAGCAGAAAAGGAGCATGATAGTAAGACAGTATGTCAACACATGGTACTAATTAGCTTCACCTATGCCACTAACTTGTGACTTAAAATAGAATCAACAATATTTGTTGTAGCATCTTTGGAAAAGGTATGTCCCAAACTAGTCTATTTTGTTGCTATTTTTTTACAGTGTAATCTCAAATGCTGGAGTGGTCTTAGGGATGATACACAGGCCACAAGCTATGTTTGACTACCTCTGATTTAGCACATTGTATGAATCTTGCCATTAATATTTCTTGCTATTGTCTAATTGTGCTCAAAGATTTTTCAATAAACCTTGGAAAAAAAACATGAATTCAGCTAATACAAGAGCGAGATACCATCTGCTTTCACATATCATCCCAAGTCAATAAATCGCATTATGCATGATTTTTCATTATAAAGCCATAATATTTATAGAAGCTTCTTCTCAAAATTAGTAGATTACAGGTTTACACAGTACAATTTAAAATGTGCATTAAGGAAGCAATACAGAGGCTATAATATACATACATACATAAAAAACACAGATCACCAAGACTAAAAAATTTATTAAAACTTAGCTTGGTGATCTGTGTTTTTTGATTTTGAATATGAATATATATATATATATATATATATATATATATATATATATATATATATATATATATTCAATAATGATGGTGAAAATGCGACTCCCGGGCATAATTATAAATGGAATGAATAAAGCGCGTTCACCAGGAGAGTTTAAAGTTAAAATACTTTAATTAAAGTATTTTACTATATTAAAAGGTTGCCAAGCTTTCGTTGGGAAAACTCCCCAACATCTTCAGGGCTGAGAGACCGTTTCTAACAAGGTGGTTTAAACGGGTTCCATAGACGTCTGTGCTTGGTTCCTAGACCGTGCCAGCATTCCCGGCTGAACAGCTGATAGGTGGGAGGGGGAATCAGAGTAAAGATTTCTTCCGTCGTTCTCTCGAGCACTTGTGTTCACATCTCCGTTTGAATCATCCTCCTCCATCATGGTGTCCTCCATGCTCATCTTCCCTCGTAGGTCAATATTCAAGTTAAATCCCCCCCATTTCTGTGAGCAAAAGTCTGTTGGTATTTGGGCAGATTCCCCGCTCATGTTACTTTCCCTTTTATCAAGCGAACGGGTCGTCATCACATGTTTTTTCTCCCCTCTCTGTATGGGATATTCACTTTTATTATTATTATGGGTAGTGCTAAATTTAGTGGTTCTATCCTCAAATTTCTTAAGCGCTCCAATGTCATTATTGTTGTTTTCTCCAATTAAAGGGGGTGTGGTTTCCCCTTGATGTTGTTGGGAGGTTTCTGGGTAGTCTATATCAGATTGTTTCTGGTAGGGAGGAGGTGTAGCTCCTGGTTTAGAACGTTGTGGATGTTGATTGTAAGGTTTGTGATATAAAGGATGATGGTTTGAGTTCCATTTTCGTAGCACTTGTTGTGCTGGGTGCAAGTCAATGTGACGATTGATTGTTATTCGAGAACCAGGCTTCTTTTAGCAGCCGACCTCCCTTCGTGGCATCACTGGCTACGGTAAGGGTGTTATTGAAGTCGAACTGATGGCCTTGTTGTGCCAATGCATCCAAAGTTGTGAGTGTGGTTCGCCTCGTTTTATGGCCAGTTTGTGTTCGTGGAGGCGAGTTTTCAAGCGTTTGGCTGTTTCTCCCACATAGTTGCCTTCGCAGTTTTTGCAGTTGATCTTATAAACAATAGCAGATTTCTCCATGGTAGGTAGGGGGTCCTTTGGACGCATAATTTTTGATCGTAGGGTTTGGTTAGGTTTGTGAGCTACTTCTATACCATGGGGTGCTAATAGTCTGGCTGTGGCCTCTGAGATGTTACTTATGTATGGGAGGGAGATGCGTGTTTTTTGTAGGGGGGAATCCCTTCTTCCTTGGGTGGTCCGGTGCTGGAAAGTTGTACAATGTCGTTTGATAAATTTTAATGGATAACCATTATATATGCACGTACGGAAGAGGTATCTCCTCTCTTCTTTCTTATATTCATCCGTGCTGCAGTGGGAGTCAACGCGTTTAAATAACGTTTTAATGCAGCTGATTTTATGAGAAACAGGATGATTACTCTGGTAATGGAGGATTCCATCCGTGTGGGTTGGTTTACGGAATACCTTCGTATGTAGGTATCCATCTGGTTGACGGTGGATGGAAACATCTAAGAAGGCAAGAGAATTGTGTCTTTCTTCCTCTACAGTAAACCTTATGTCAGAGTAGATGGAATTTAATATTCCCATAAATGTAGTTACATGTTGTCTTTTGACAATAGCAAATGTATCGTCCACGTATCAAACCCAAAATTTGGGTTGGTATAAAATCATAGCCTTATGTTCAAGCTGTTGAAGGACTACCTCAGCTATAATACTGGAGATGGGGGAGCCCATCGGGGTTCCTTTTATCTGTTCATAGATGGTGCCTTGAAATGTGAAATAAGTCTGGAGACATATTTCTATCAATTTCACGAGGTCTTCCGTCTGAAGGGAATCTTGGTGATGACCTGCTCTCATAGATGTCAAACGTTCTTTCAGGACAGAGATGGCTAAGTCCTGGGGAATGGAGGTGAAGAGAGAGGTGACGTCGAACGACACCATCATCTCATCATCCTCCACCCTAAGGGTCTTAATTCTAGTTAAAAATTCTTCTGCAGATCTGACCATGGTGTTACTGCCATCTACATCTAATTCAAGACAGTGGGAGGTAGAGGGGAATAATGACACACCCACAAGCAGTAAAAGCAAGAAAAGAGGAGTCATCAGTATGGAAGCCGTAATTAAAAAGCAGTTAAATCAATTAGGACCTACACAAGATCTAGGAGCCCTGTGCAAATGATGGCTCACCTATAAAGGCACTCTCCCACAGACCAGCATTAACCCTGACGATGTCAGAAGCATCTGACGAAAGCTTGGTGATCGGTGATGGTATTAAACTTTTATAGTTTATTATATTCCTGGTGTTCACGTTTTATTGGTAATTGACTATATATGTATGTATGTATGTATGTATGTATACATGTATATACAGACCGGTCTGATTGATTGTACCTTGATTGCACTGCAGTTCTACTTTTTTATAATCACTTTTGCCTTGCAGTCCCCCAACTAGGGGTGTTAAGCAGGCTCAAGTCGCTACTGCGATACATTACAAATTCAGATTTCTTTGTCAGCAAAAAGAAATCTGAATATATGTATATATAAGTAATAATGGTCCATGAGATCACAAAGAATCAGACACAACTTAGCAACTGAACCACAACAAAAGCAATAACAAATTACCTATCATCCAATTTAAAGATATTTGAATATGTGTCTATGCCATAATATTTTGTAATAGTTGTTTAGAGCAACATGCTATGGAGCAAAGATGCATAATTATTCACAGAGCAACATGAAAGTAACCTATGCATAGAAATATTGTACAAACTTTGGATTCAGTTTAGAAGAGGCTCTTCAGAACTTTCAGAAGTGGAATGCAACATCTATCTATTTGAAACTATTTGAAAAACAAAAGAGATTTGTTCCCAAGAATATCTAGGTTGCTATGAAAGCCTCTTTACAGCAGCCACAGAAAGCTTGAAAAAGACATGGGTGTTTTAATGCATCATGTACACAGGTGTTGCTCCCATGCTTTCTGAAGCCCCTCTTCCAAGATTAATTTGAAGTAATGGTGTTATCGTAGACATCCATGTATATATCCTACACCATGGCTAATTTTGGCTAACAAAACAGGATCAAGCCTAAATATCAGAACACAAACAAAAGAAACAAGTGCAATCTTATGCGCTAAGGATTTTTCTTTTTCTTTCTTTTATCCTCAGATCATGTGCCTTTTGAATTAAATCAAACCATGCAGCCAACAATAAAACCAAATTAATTCATTAGCCTGTTCCTTACTAGCACAAAAATTTCTTAATAGCTTAATAAGAAAACTGCTATAGACTTTTGATAGTTATTATACTTTTATGCTTTTAGTGTACTCAGATATGCATTTTTTAAAAAATAATTTTATGCATGCCATCTTAGAAATAAGTTTCATTAAGCTCAAGAAGTTTCTTTCAATTAAATACAATAATACCATGCTGTAATGCAGCTGCTCTCTACGCAGCCTCAATCATATTATCATTTGTTTACACAGGTTGGACACTGTTATGGTGTGACAGAAAGTGGAAGCCGAGACACTTTAAAACTTAGTAGAGACTACTAAACCCAATCGGAAAAGTTTGTGCCAGAATGCAAACATCGGAATGCATTAGGCCATTTTTAAACACTGCAAGTGACAACACTCCAGAACAATTTACAAGAAAACGCCCTTTTCCCTGGAATGTATGTGCTTAGTGAAAGCAACATGAAATCAAGCAGAAACTCTTACATGCAAGTCCATTCCGTCAAATCGTTCAGCGTCAACCACCTTATCTTTTACGTAGATTTTGGTCTGAAGGGAAACTATTCATTTCTCACGCTTGCCAACCCAAAAATAGCAAGATCCTATCAGCACCCCCTGGATAAAGCAAATGTGTTTCTCCTTTAAAAAAAAAAAAAAAGCCTTTTCTGACAAATCAGCCCAGGCTCTTGCATTGAAATCAGGTGCGGTGGATTGCAGTCCTGGCTGTCAACACTTATGAGGGGGGTTATCTGTTTTTACTGACTGTATAGATTAGAAGTATTTCCAAGCTACAGAATAACAGCGTTGGAAGGGGCCTTGGAGGTCTTCTAGTCCACCCCACTGTTCAGGCAGGAAACCTTATACTATTGCACCACAACTTCTGGAGGCAAGTAGTTCCACTGCTTAATTGTTTTAACTGTCAGGAAATTTCTCCTTAGCTCTAGGTTGTTTCTCTCCTTGATTGCTTCTTGTCCTGCTTCAGGTGCCTTGGAGAAGAAGTTAACCCCCTCTTTTTCCCATTGCAAAGAACCTCCAAACTTTTTTTCTTAATAAAGGCGGGAAAACCCCATACTTACATATACCGCTGTGCTCTGAGCTTTTAATAAATGCACCAACTCCTCGAGCTATTCTTAAAATGAAGGAAGAGATCTGACGCCCAAAGGAGATGTAACGCCCAAACACTCCTACGGATCAGACACGAATCTCTCTCTCTCTCTCTTTGTAGCACTCGCGGCAAACTCCGCCCTCGTTCACAGACCTGGGATGGCCCGTGCTTGGGCGCGAATTGCAAGGATGAGATAGAGATGAAGGGAGGGGGTAAAAAAATATAACCTGAACCACAGAGGGAAATAAAGTCCCGACACGCCTATCCGTCGCAAAGCATTGCTGGGAATATCATTGAACTTTCTAAGAGTACGAGGACGGGAAGGAGAGGCGAAACAGAGAACCAGTCGAGGTCGCAAAGCTTGTCGGGAAAACGGCGAAAGGACCGGTTCTTCCGCACAGCCTCTTGGAACATGTAGTCCGTTACGAATAACGGCTCTTCTCTGTTTCCCGTTCGTTTCTTCCCCCTTCTAATTTGGGCCACGCGGGAGAAAAGGCCGTGCTCTAGCTGACACGGAAGCTGCCCGATTCGTGAGCTCCAGTGCGGATGTGAACAGCGGGGGGGGGGGGGGAGAAAAGCGCTCAGGCGGCTTCAAGGCTGCCCTTTGGGGTCCTTCTCTCTGGGCGAGAGGTTGCCGCGAGGAGCCCTGCGAGCGCGTGGGAGGAGGCGGGCGCTTCGCTGTGCTGCCGGGCAGCCGCGACCGATTGATTTCATAGGTCGTTCAGTGGATCACTCGGAGTCGCTCCGAGCTCGCCCCAGACATGTCCTACTGCAGGCAAGAAGGTACCGGGACGCGAAAGGAGGGAGGGGGCGATGGTGACGATCGGGCCGACCAAAAGCGTCTGTGCCCCAGCAGGGAGCCCAGAGAAAGTGGGCTGGGCGGAAAGGAGCGTGGAAGCTGCATGAGAGCCGGCTGGGTGACTTTGGGCCGCTCATTCTCTCTCAGCCCAACCCCACCTCACAGGGTGGTTGTTAATGGGGAAAATAGGAGGAGGAAGGAGTATGACAGGTAGTCCTCGACGTACGACCACGATTGAGCCCCAGATTTCTGTTGCTAAGTGAAACATTTGTGAAGTGAACTTTGCCCCATTTTTACGACCTTTCTGACCACAGCTGTTAAATGAATCCCTGCAGTTATTAAATTAGCAACACGACTGTTAAGCACATCTGGCTGCCCCATTGACTTTGCTTGTCAGAAGGTCATAAAAGCTGATCGGGTGTGAAGCTGCAGCAGACAGATGTCACCTGTCCGGATTTTGATTACGTGACCATGGGGAGGCTGCAATGCTTGTACTTGTGAAAAACTTACAACTCACTTTTTTCAATGCCACGCCGTTGTAACTTTGAACAGTCACTGAGTGAACTGTTGTAAATCGAGGGCTACCTGTATATATGCTCATCTTGAATTGCTGCAGACAGATAAAATATGGAATTCTAATATTAAACAGTCTGCATCCTGCAAGGATACCTTTACATCATCAAATAAGAACACCTGCCTATCCCATGTCTTTGGGAAGAACTCTATATAGGTGGATAAAAATAATCATTCCAGCCTGAGTGACTGTAACCTGCCATTATATCAGCTCTCCAGTCAGAGGAAATAAATGAATGTAAGGGTTTCATTCCTGCAGCAGCAGGGCTGAGAGGTTGGATCTGAACCATCTCCCAGAAATCTTTTGGCTTCCGGGCTTGGCACTGTTTTCCTACCTCCCTATAGGTTTTGGTGGTGGCACATCTATTTTCCAGGGAAATGTTTCTTTCCACCACCAACCCTAGTGTGTGTGTGTGTGTGTGTGTGTGTGTGTGTGTGTGTGTGTGTGTGAGAGAGAGAGAGAGAGAGAGATTGCTTTCATAATCTGTGATTCAGTCACAGTTTTATTCCATACAGTATTAACCTTGTGAACTCTAAAGCTTCTTCCTCCTGTTATGTATTCAAGATGGAAGGTGATTAATATTTATATGTTACTTATTAATATGTATGTTACTTATACTTATAGGGTGTAGGTCTAATTATATGTTGTATATAGTATGTTTAAATGTGTATTATGTATGTGTACATTTTGAGAGCAAGCAACTAAATTTCATTTTTAATGTATGCCATTGTGCCCACAGTAAAAAATGACTCTATCTATCTATCTATCTATCTATCTATCTATCTATCTATCTATCTATCTATCTATCTATCTATCTATCTAGCTATCTATCTATCTAATCTATCTGAATGACAATTGGGAAATAAATTCTATAGTGCTATCTCCTGCCTCAGGATGTGTGACTAGGGAAATCAGCAACAACATAATCCTCTTTGAGGTAAATCAATTTCACAAACTATAAAGATAGTTCTTGAGTACGACCTCTCATTTAGCAACTGTTCTGAGTTACAGTTGTGTTTCGAGCAAGTAGTATTTAAGATCAATCCCAGAAGTTTCAGCTGTTGCAGCACCCCTGTAATCACATGACTGCAACTTGGGCTCTTGGCAACTAGCTCACACATATACCAGTTGCAACTACATGATTGACGTTTGTGACCTTCCCTGCCAGTTTCTCACAAGCAAAATCAGTGGGGAGGCTGACAGAGAGACACACATATCATTCCCATTAGTTACTCCTGCAACGTTTTCTCCAGTAGAGCTCTACCATGGAGTATGACCCCCCACACACTTGCCTGCACTAGCCTGCCTGTGTTTCCTAGCATCACTTTGCCATTCCCTCCAGCCCTCCCCCACTCTTTATCAGCCCACTTGTGTTCCCTAGTGCCTGTTGACAGCCCCTGCTAGCCTGCTTGTATTCCTAGAGCCCACCCACACCCCTCGGCAGCCCACCCTTACTTACTTGTGGCCTCCTCCCCCTCCTCCCATCGTGACACCTGCATACCTCCTATGATCCTTGTTGGGACTCCTTCTTCCCGCTTAAATGCCTGCACAGTTCTGAGGATACGATGGCAACTGAGACTGCTGGGATATGATATCACTCTTTTGATTGCATTGCTTAGTGACAGTAATCCCAATCCCAAATTGCTGTTGTAACCCGAGGACTACCTATAAAAATGGTCTTTATTAAAAAAAAAGAAAAAACATAAAACTTCATTTTAGCTTGTCATATTATTTGTTTGTTTATCATATTTATATAGTCATGTAAGGTACTTGATGGCAAAAGAGATAAAATGAACTATTCAAATAAAGGGAGAAATTTTAAAAGTATTTCCGAAAGAAGCTTGTGTAGGAAAGGGTATTAAGCTCTGGGCATGCTCTACTCTGATCCAAGTCTGGTAGGAAGTGGTAACATCTTACATAAAGGCTGAGTGCATATACTGACAATTATCTGCCAAAGCAAACATAACCAGGAAAGAAAATTAAACTTAGCACGATTCTTTGCTAACTTTTTTTAATCTGGGGCATATGCTAAATTAATAATATAATCAATAAACTAAACTGGAGTAAATGTTAATTTAATGTCAAGATATACATGGCTCATAATGAAGCATCTCCAGGGCCCAAGTTCATTAGCTTATGACAGATTAGTCCTTTACCTACTCTTCTAATATTGTGTATGTTTTTTCCCTAATTTTTAGGAAAGGACCAAATTATATTTGTGACCAAAGAAGACCATGAAACCCCAAGCAATGCTGAATTGGTGGCAGATGATCCCAATGATCCTTATGAAGATCATGGTCAGTGGAATGTAAATAACTGTTTTGTGTTTTATTGAATAATGTTGAGGTTGAAATGACTGCATTGCTTAGTGATTATAATCCAGGCAGTCTTGCTTGTGTATGTGTGGACACAGTGAGGTCAAGCAGAAGGGGTACAGAGTACGTGCATGCATGTGATCACAAGGAGACCAGGAAAAGAGCACAGAGTACATGTATTCATAGGTGCCATTGCAGGGAGGACAAATAAAGTGTGTGGTGTGTATGTGTGTGTGTGTATAAGAGAGAGAGAGAGATCACAAGGAGGCTAAGGAAAGAAGGTGTGGGAGTTTGTGCAAAGAGAAGAGGATGTGGCAGAGAAAGCTCTATAGAAATGACACTTATCCATTGATTTGGCTTGGGAAAGGTCACAAATGGTTAAGTGACTGCAGGATGCTACATGTACTCATAAGCGGGATCTTGTTGCCAGGCACTGAATTGTGTTTACGTGACCACAGGGCTGCTGTAATAGCTGAAACTTCAAATGCCAGTTGTAAGTCCCTGTGTTCAAATGGCCACTGAGCCGATGGTTATAATTCAAAGACTACCTGTGTTACACATCTCTATTATGTGACAAATAGGCAATCATTTAAATCACCTTTCAAAACTAAGACATAATCTAAGTAACTCTGGTATTTTAACTCCTCCATGTTCAATATGAATATATGCAAATGTTGTGGATGATATTAAGTATAACAGTTTTTTCTACATTCTCTTACTTTGCAATAAAATGACTTGGTGCCTGTTGAGGTATATTGAGCAACCTATGTCTCAGCTTCACAAGAATGAGTTTTCACTTACATACACTTGTGTGCTAAGATTATTACTGTTTGTCCCAATTTATTCACGTTTTATTCTGATTGTGATGAATCTAGAGGTATAAAATAAATCTTATCCTTTTTCATCATCCTCTTAAACCTGGAATAAGGTAGAAGTATAGGCACTTAACAATGTACGGAGAATATTCACTATGGCAAAGTTGGAGAGCCTCTGTTTAGCAATATTAAAGAAAAACATGCAGATTTGTCATTTTGCATTTTTCAAGGAAAACAAAAACATATTAAGTGAGAAATATACTAAATGTTTTTAAATTAGTATACAGATAATCCTCGACTTATAACAGTTCATTTTTAGTGACCATTCAAAGTTACAACGGCACTGACAAAAGTGACATGACAATTTTTCACACTTATGAATGTTGCAGCATCTCCACGGTCATGTGATCAAAGTTAAAATGCTTGGCAACTGGTTCATATTTATGATGGTGGCAGCATCCAAGTGTCACCTTTTGTGATTTTCTGACAAGCAAAGCCAATGGGGAAACCACATTTCATTTAACAACCATCTTTCTAACTTAACTGTATTGATTCACTTAACTACTGTGGCATGAAAGGTAATAAAATGGAACAAAAGTCTCTTAACAAATGTCTGGCTTAGCAATATAGATTTTGGGCTCAGCTGTGATTGTACGTTGAGGGCTACCTGTATGTAACATGTGCTCCTATATGCTTGACATATTTCCTGTAATCTAATTTGCAAAAATCATTTTTGAATTGAGTCATTCAGAGTTGAGTGGCATACTAGTAATATTATTTCAAAATGTAAGTGAAAAATCTGTATTTCAGTGTTACCTTTAGAGGGCAGCATTTGCTCACTCTGATAGCTGTCAAACATAGCTATGTTGCCTGTCTTCTAGATAAGATCCTGCTGGAGCCTTATTTCTCAGTATAAACCTCAGTCACATGGATTTGGCTGGTAATGGGCACCATTAATTTTATGTATTGTCCAGAGCAAAGCAGCTAACATATTAAACTTGTAAATTGGTATAACGTAGGGTGTACATTATTGAAAAGGATTAT